ATTGTCTATACAACAAAAACTATCTAGGGTATGAGGCAAATAGATTTACGTTATATTTAGATTATGAATTTAGATAAAAATAAAATAAAATAAAAAATTAAAATATTTACATTTATATTTCATTTGTATACTTTTTTCATTTTTTAAACACAACTTTAAAAACAAATATTTGAACCATTGTCGAACATCATGATCTCTTTAACTCCTAGCTTGTTGAGGCCACTGCTAAATTCCTACTTTATAAAATAGTGATGTTATACGCATCAATTGATATATTAATTAATATATTAACATTTATTATGATATCATCACTTTAAAATTTTGGACTTCACTTATTATACAAATTATAAAGACCAAAAACTTTTAAAATAATGCCACATCATTAGATTGGTACGTATATCTTTATCAATCCCGTTAGGTAGCTCGAATAACTTGTGGCTTGAATGGCTCAAGGTGCCAAAACGACGTCAGTTTGGTATCATTTTTTTTTTCTTTTCTTCTTACTTCATGGCTTTTCTATTTGTCTTCTCTTTGAAACAGAAAGAAAAATGAGAGAAAGAAGAAGAGAGAAGGATAAAAGAGGGAGAAAGAGAGAAGAAAGAAGGAACACAGAGAGAGAAGATGGAGGAACAAAGAGAGAGAGGGGCGGAACTCCCATCTACCAGTGCCGCTATCACCGCCGCAAACCCTCCACCCACTGTCACCCATCACCATCACCGTTGCCTACTGCCATCATCGTTGCAAACACCTCCATCCACTAACGCCCATCGCCTCTGTGTGTATACACAGATCTGTGTAAACACACATAGATCTGTATATATCTTTCTCTCTCTGTTCCCCCTCTCTTCCTCCCTTTTCTCTCTGTTCCCCCTCTCTTTCTTCTCTTGGCTCTTTGTTTCAGAGAGAAAAGAGAAGGGAAAGAAAAATTGGCCAAAACAACCTCGTTTTGGCATTCGAGCCACTTGAGCCTCCAAAATTTCAAGCTACAAAGCAATTTTCTATCTTTATTCATAAAATAATCTCAATTTTTTTAAGTGACTTATCACTTGTTTGGCATAAGGCTATGGGGCTAAAATAATCACAAAATAGATTAAAAAGCTAGTAAGATAAAATATTATATCCAAACTATACTCATTTTATTTTTTATTTTACAAAAGTTAAAAAAGTCAAAAAAACCCATCTCAAACGAATTTTTTAGCCCCAAGCTAAAATAGTCAAAAAATCAAAAAGACAACTCACATCCCAAATGAACCCTTAATGGTTTGCCATTGGAGTTGCTATAGTTATAATTTAGTAGCTAAGAAGAAAAGTGGTGCTCCAATGGTCACATATAGCAGCTGCCAAAACCAACCTCTCTTGCTTCCTCTTTTAGCAAAATAGATAATTTTTTTCAAAATCGTCATTTTTGCATAACCAAACACAAGTTTTTGCAAATTTTTGTGTTTGATTCTGTCAAAATAGGGTTTCACTATTAGAACAACATTGTTATAATTCTACCATTTTATATTATGTATTGTCAAATATAACAATGATAATACTATTTATAGTATTTACGATTAGAGGTGCTCTTACCAAACTCAAAAAACAATTTTTTTTTTTATTTATTTGTTGTCTCAGTTTGGTCTATGGCGTACATAAAACTTGGAATTTCTCTCGAACAGCTCCATTCAATTTCCTTGCAAATTTTGTTGACTTGCTTACACCAAAAACTTGGTATTTTTATGTTGCGTTTAGATTATAAATTTAAGTAAAAATTTATTTTATAGAGAGTAATGAAAATAGAATATAAGTTTTTTTTTTCTTTTCTAATTTTTTATTTGAATTCATAATGTAAATATAACGTTAAGATAAAGGCAAATCTTTTCCAAAACGATGATATGGCATGTCTTTCAATGCTTCTGTTTTTTCCGAAATATTTTGCATGATTGTTGTAACAAACTAGGAAAATTTTGAACAAGAATACTTTATAGTTGACCATTCCAAGAGGGAAAGTAAGGGATTAATAGAAGTAGCCCACAAATGTTGTGGTGTGGAGTTAAAAAGAAAAGTGCATAAAATTTGATGGGTAAATTATACTTTTAATTTCTATAGTTTAATTCTAGTTACAATTTAAATTTTTCATTCTACGGTTTTGGTTTACTTATTAGTCTCTTGAGGCATGCACGTTAAAAAAACAACAAAAATATTAAATTAAAATTAAATTTAAAGTGTAAAGACTATATTGTTGAAATTGAAATAATAAGGATTAAAGTGTAATTTAAGTCAAACTATACAAGAAAAAAATATAATTTATAGATATAAATTTTGTATTTTTGTGAGTCACATGGAGAATAAACTTATTTCAAAACTCTAAATATCTTTTTATGTTTTTGTTTTTAAAATTTAAAATTGACAATCTCTAAATAAACATTTTTTTTTTGGGTTAAAAAAGCATAAAGTAAAAAACTAATTGGTTTGGCTTAAAAAAACAAGGGTAAATTATACTGACACTCCAAATGTTTCTGTTTAATATAGATTTTGCTATTACGTTCGAAAAATTACATTTACTCATCTATTAGATTACAATGACATATTTGCCCTAATCTTTATACATATAAATAATAAAATAATACCGATATTTTATTTATGTTATTTCAAGAAAAATAGCAACCATCTTCTTTGATTTAACTCACACAAAAAATTAAATTTTTTTTTTTTTTGTGTTTTTTTTTTATTTTTACTGATTTCAAAATATTTTCAACAATTTTTTATTTTATTTTTTAGATACACCTAATCTAGATATATTTAAAAAATATAATATTTTGTAATTTTTTTAAATTCACCAAATACAAAAAATAAAAAAATCAATAATACTGTAATAAATGTAAATGACGATTTTTTTGGTAATACTATAATAAATATAGATGAATAGACGAGAAAGAAAAATGGTGGTGGAAATAAAAATGAAAAATTCTATTTACATATAAAAATTTCATAAAAATATTGTGACAATGATATTGTTGTAAATATAAATCATGTTTATGAGTGTTTGTTTTAAAGTGAAAAGTCATCATTAAGTTATATCATTGTGTTTGAAAATTTTGTATAAAATTTAAGGTGAATTACACTAACAGTCCCTATAGTTTGGGGCTCGTGTCACTTTGGTCTCTAACTTTTCAATTATGACATATTTGGCCTTGAATTTTGAATCTTGTTCCAAATAAGAAAAATTGAAGATATCATTACTCAAATTTAAGGGCAAAGTCCTCAATTAGATAAAATATAAACTAATTTGACAAAATAAATAACAAAAAAATATTTTTGAATTTTTAAAAATTATTTCTACTCACTAAAGACAAAATTATGTAAAATTGATAAATCTTTTAGATATTTATTTATTTTACTAAATTAATTTTTATTATATGTTTGGATGATGATCATGCAATGGGTGCACCGTAATTGGACCGTGAAAAAGCCTTATAACCATCCATTACATGATCATTATCCAAACATATAATAAAAATTAATTTGGTAAAATAAATAAATAAATGTCTAAAAGATTTATCAATTTTACATAATTTTATTTTTGGTGGGTAAAAATTCGAAAATAACTTTTTAACATTTATTTTTGTCAAATTAGTTTATATTATATCAAATTAACGATTTTGCCCTTGAAATTGAGCAATGATATCTTCAATTGTCCTTATTTGAAACAAGATTTAAAACTCATGGTCAAATGTATCATAATTGAAAAGCCAGGGACCAAAAACTATAAAGACAATAAGTGTAATTCGCCCTAAAATTTATTTTTGTATATCATCACTCAATAAAAATATTTATTTTAATCTAGGACTAAAAATCCACATTTGAGATAGGCTTTTTAGTTTTTTTGACTTTAGTGAGAAAAAAATAAAATGATTATAAATTAAATGTGACATTTTATTCTATTTGACTAAAATAATTTATTTTATCCTACAGGACTATTTTACTCCAAAGTTACTTTCCAACCATAGAGTTTTATAAGAAACTTCTGGAATTATTTAAAATCTTGAAAGGCGAAAGTAATTTACCAAAAAATAATAAAAATTAAAATGATAAATTAAACTAACCTCCAAATTTAAAAAATATATACACATTAAATAATTCTCACAATTTAATATAATTACAAATTCTCTTAAAATTATAATTTACACAATAATTTTCATCAATAATTCTTTAGTTATATGTATGAAAAAAAATGATGTTTTATATATTTTATACTTAAATATATGGAAAATTCTAATATACACATGCACAGGCCCCGTTTGTTTTGGGAGATAGAATAGAGGGGATTGATAGTGAAAGGATTAATAGTGAGGGAATTGATAGTGAGGAGATTAATAGTGAGGAATTATTAAATTATTTTTATATAAAATAATAAAACAAAAAAATATAAAAAATTAAACATTATATTTTTAAAAAAATTCCCAATATATAAAAAATAAAAAAATTTATAATCCCCTCACTATTTTCTAATACCATCTCTACCTCCTCCTTACCAATCCCCCTTCCAAGGGTATTAGCAATACCAAGGGACTAATAGTCCCAAGGATTTCTCTGCAAACAAACAGGGGCTTTAGTAATACCTTGGTATTACTAGTCCCAATACCCTCCCTATAGCCCAAAACAAACGGGGCCTCACTATTTTTCTAATACCATCTCTACCTCCTCCTTACCAATCCCCCTTCCAAGGGGACTACTAATACCAAGGGACTAATAGTCCTCTCCTCATCTCTCAAAACAAACACCCTCATTAGTAATACCAAGAGATTGGTAATCCTAATCTCCTCCCTATAACCCCAAACAAACGGGGCCGAGGGTGTACCATATGCAGCATTAGTTATGTAATTTTCTTCTTTATAATTATGACCAATTTTCTTTATAATTATGATCAAAACTAAAGAACAAAATAATATAATTATGATGTATATAATACACTATTTTCAAAGGGTACTAAAATTTTCCTAAAAACTATAGACTACCTGTATTTTTTTTAGATATCAGGACGTGAGCACAAGTTTGCTTGGAGCTTCCCATTGTATTCTCGCTGCGAAACCCTAACCCTAAACCCCTGAAAAGTGTGATTTTTTTTTTCCCCAGTTCCCAGAGGGAGATTGACATCAAAGATGTCGGAAAGAGAAGAAGATATTGAATCGGACGCTCCCGAGGAATTCACGTCTGAACAGGTTTTTTTTCACTCTCTACTGCCCCAATTTTTTGTATATTACATTTCCCCCCCTTTTTCATCCAATTATGATCAATTCAAACATCCAAAAACAAAAAAAAAATTAATTGTTTTTTGTTGCAGGGATTACATCAAGACGTGGAGATAAGAAAAGTTCAGAGTGAAAGCAAGGCTAGGTCTGCTTTCCATCTCTTTGTGTTTGCATTCAATTGATGTATGTACTGCTGATTTGATTCCAAATAAAAATGGTGAAAGAAATCATCTCAACCCCCCATTCGAATCTAATGCCCAAGAATTCTATTTGGTAGTTCAATTCTTTATCCTTTTCTTGCTTTCATTTTTGGGAGATATCACATCTTTTGTATTCCAAATTATCTTAGGAGGACTATGAAAATGATATTGCTTGAGATTTCCAATCCTAGAACTTTTGTTGAGTTGACTATTTTTTCCTTTTTTTTTTTTGTGGGTTTCATACTATTTACAACTTGCCTCTGCTGGGGCTTGAACCCTGCGGAAGGAGATGCCACTTAAAGCTAAAAGCTGGTGGTTACATTGAGTAGTTTGCGGTGCAGTTGTAGTTATCATGATCATTGAGAGGACCAAGTCAGAAGATTCAATAGGATTATATAGCAGATTGGGATTCAATTAAAAAATTTAGGTTGCAGGATTGTATGAAACCCTGCACCTGATCCTTTATGGGTGGAAGGAGATGCCACTTAAAGCTAAAAGCTGGTGGTTACATTGAGTAGTTTGCGGTGCAGTTGTAGTTGAAGGAGATGCCACTTAAAGCTAAAAGCTGGTGGTTACATTGAGTAGTTTGCGGTGCAGTTGTAGTTATCATGATCATTGAGAGGACCAAGTCAGAAGATTCAATAGGATTATATAGCAGATTGGGATTCAATTAAAAAATTTAGGTTGCAGGATTGTATGACAGATTAGGATTCTCTCGCGCTGTCTCTCTCTCTCTCTCCCTGGTAGCTAGCTACTAATATCTTGTTATTTCACATAGCCAAGGTTTGTCACACCCCAATTTTTATTTATTCGGAAACATTCCCAAAGCCTGTAATTTAGGTCTATTTTTTTTTTTATTAACAAACATCCATTACCCTTGAATAATAGAAATATAATGATACATGTTCTCTCTCTCTCTCTCTCAATGAACACAATAATAACAATAATAAATGCCGAGCTTTCACTACGGAGCTACAAATAAATAATTACAAACATCCATGTACAATATTTATTTATTTCACATCTACAATGAAATTACATATAAAAGACACATGGACTTCTTAACTTTTCAATCAAAGAATCCAAACTTTCTTCCTGCAAGAGGATAAAACAACAAGCGGTGAGCACTAATGCCCAGTAAGAATCTCATAGTTCTCAATCAATAACTAGCACATAGATAGAAATGATCATGCATGCAGGGTGATACCATATAATAGGATGACATTTTGTAATCTCAAAATATCATAAATAAAGTACTTTTTTCTCAAAAACCATTTAAACACTTTTAAGAAAAACCTTCAGCCATTAAAAATCATCCCTTAACTTTAGAAAACCATAGATCCTTGTGAAACAAACATATTTAAAAAACATCATTTAAAAGTTATTAACCAATTCCCAAAATATTTCTTATTTAATTTCCATTTTTAATGCTCCTCTTTTTCTTTCATTCTTCCTTTCTACTCATTATATTTATTTAGAACCCCATAACTTCGAGTTCAAGTTCCCTAATTTATTTACAGAACAACACTCCTAATTTACCTTTATTGCCGCAACTACTTCATTAAGTTTACCATCACCAATCCATAGTCCCCTTACCTATTTTCCTCTTTAAACCAAATTACACATCAATATGCAATTTTACAAATTCATCACAAGTCACAAATAATATCATCAACTCAACACACTTTTCAACACACATCTCGACACAATCCACCTTTTGCCGACTTACCATGGCGGGATAGCGGGCACCCGATTTATAACACTTTCCACCTTTCGCCGGTTACTATATGGTAGGAAGTAAACTCCCAAAAAATCATTTTCTCAAAAGTCATTTTTTTCCAAAACCCATATTTCTCCAAAAATTATTTTTCAACTTTTTGAAAACTATCCCCCACATTTGCCGACTACTATACGGCAGGATGTGCACACCCAAAACATTTTCGAAAACCATCCGTTTTTTCACTTTTGCCAGCTACAATATGACCGGACTGTGTAGACATCCAAAAATCATTTTTCCACTTTCGCCGACTACTATACAACAGGACTATGTGGACACCCAAAAATATTTTCCCTCATTCGTCCAACGATAAACCTAGACAGGGCAATTGGGCACCTTTAATTCAAACTACCCCCACATTTGCCGGTTACTATACGGCGGGACGTGTGCCCCCAAAAACTTTTTTCTTCAATTTTTAAAACCATCCCCCACATTTACCAGTTATTATACGGACGGTCATGGGCACCAAAAAATTATTTTTCAACTCCCCGCGCGGGTACCAATACAATACCACCCAACACAACTTAACCCAAACTCAACACAACCCAACACAACTCAACCCAAACTCAACACACCCAACACAACTCAACTCAAACTCAACATACCCAACACAACTCAACTCAACACAATTCAACATGATTCAACACAATTCATCATAGTTCAACATAACTCAATTCAACATTATGCAACACAACTTAATTCAACATAAGTCAACACAACTTAATTCAACAACACTATTTGCAATTCAACAGATAAATTTTTGAATCCCATTTCAACATTCCATAACCAAGTTTATGTCATCCATATCATTAACATACTTTTTCTCCCAAATTTCATTTCATATTATGGCATTATTTACAATGCCCATAACAAAGGTTCAATAGCTAATTTTTAACATAATTTTCAAACACTTCCATAATCTAATTAAATTTGTATATATATAATTCAACCTCTCAATTTCATGATTGTACTTTCAATTTGAGCAAAATCATTATTTATCATCATGAATCAACATAGGATTTTCAAGAAAAAATCAAGACTTTCAAGAAAAATTAAAACTTTTCATACCACTACTTCTTATTCCAATTTTTCTATTGATTATACACCCAAGGTTCACAATCCATAATCTTAACCCAACAATTGAACTCCAACACTTTAAACCCTAAACCCCCAAATTCCATGATATAACACTACATTCTAAAAAATATAGATTTTGCATTTATATAATCAAAATACCACAAATCTATCTATTAATGCAAGTATTAAAGAAGAACTAAGACCCCTACCTCAAGAATCAAGCAAAAGAGCGAGCTTTGATGAGATTCCTTCACAAATCTGAATTCCAATCGATAGAAAATGTTGAACTTCAAGCCTTCTTCACTTTCTTGTAAGGGATCTTGGCCAAATCTTTGAGGAATGGAAGATATTTGGGTCAAAAGTCTAGGGTTTTCGGACTAAGGGTGAGAGAGATGAAGAGAGAAGATGAAGATGTGAAGAATGATCTAGAAAAGTGCCTTTAAACTTGTTGAATTTGTGCAGTCCGCTCGAGCGTCGCTTTCCACGCTCGAGCGTATCTGCTTCCAGCACAGATATGAAAACTTCAAAGGGGTCGGACTCCGTTCTAGGTTGTTCTTGTGTCCAAATCGAAGCCAGGAAATAAGCTTTCCAATGGTTCTAGCCTCACACCCAAATTCAAAGTGTGGAAAAAGAAAAGGGCAAAAGAATGACGGCTGTTCGTAGGAAAAATTATCCGAATTAAATTCTTGGGTCACTCTTACTTTACCATTATGTTGCCACTTCAATCAATACCTCAAAATAAAATAAGGAGGTTCCAAATACACTAATAAAAATGTCAAGGGCAATCTCACTTTCCACGCTCGAGCGTCGCTTTGCGCGCATAGACCAACAAAGCCGTCCGCTCGAGCGACCACTCCTACGCTCAAGCGGGAATTCACAATTCTCAGAATTTCAAACAAACTGCAAAAATGCTGGGAGCCTCTCAAGTCCGCTCGAGCGTCAACTTCCCCGCTCGAGCGGAGGGAAAAATTCCGGATCGTTACAAGGTTTAAAATAAATCCCAGAACACATAAATCGGTCATGAACCTGGGCACATAATGTTTATGAATGGATAAATTTTTTCAAAAGTAAGCCCCACCAACTAACAAACTTTATAAAATCTTGTCCATTCGTATACATGTTGAGTTTGATTTTGTGATCTGTTTGTGTGTTTGTAGCAGAACTGCCAAGTTTAGTGGCAATAATTGTCTGTCAACTAGAGTGAACAAAGGATGTTTTTTTTTTTTTTGGATAAATAGAGTGAACAAAGGATGTTATGTAACAATAACGTATAGGCCAGGCCAGTATGAGTGACTGGATTTCCTTTGTTGTTCCTTCAAATTACATTTTATAGATTTATTCCACATTTTTTTTGTGTGCACAAACACATGGGTATCATAATGCTTGATTGCAGGTCATGTATACATTTGCTTATTTGTTTCTTTTGAATTGTAATAACATATTAAAGTAAGATGTTATTAGAAACATCTCTGTTGTGATTGAATCAAGATTGTTCAGAATGTGATTGAATGTTAATTATCAACGTGAGCTCATGAGCTAGTTTTGGTTGTTTATACAGTTGAGAAAAAGAAAAAAATAATAATAATAATAATAGAAAAGAAATATGAATTGAATTTGAGATTTCAAGGGTTTCAATTTTTAGAATTGGAGTAGTTTGTCATTTTATATGATTAAAATGAATCACTTGGTTGTATGTGTGATGAGGGTACAGAGTTGGTCAATCATCTCCTAATGCGTTGTAAGATGTTCTTTGATACGTGGGCTCTTCTTTCGACTCCCAAGGGGGGTGACAGATCTTATACACTGTTGGAATGGTGTCAGAGTTAACAGAAATAGAAGGAAATCTTGGGAAGTTGCCCCGCTGTGTTTGATGTGGACCATTTGGGGTGAAAAGAATCAAAGATGTATTGAAGGATTGGAGAAACCTCTTTTAGTATTGAAATCATTTTTTATGAGTCTTTTGTATAAGTGAATTTCCTGTGTCAGACACTTCAGTTGAGCACTTTTGGATTTTATAGAAATGTAGAATGCTTGTTGCTTGAATAGCCTTTCTTTTTCTTGACTTTTTATTATTTAGTTTTTGTATGTGAGTTGCATACCCTTGGATGTTTTTTAACGGTTATGTATGTGCTATGATTGTCAAGCTGTGATGCTAACCTCTTATAGTCCTATAACATGGAAATCAACCTTGGCAACATAGACAGTGGATTCATTTAAACCACAATAATTGAACATATAATATGCATGAAACACAAAGGTTGTATAATTGTATTAGAACGCTTGTGATAATGTTCAACTATTAAATCTTGTATTATGCTTTTGACAGGTTCATTTGTTTTTATGCCTTTAAAGTCCCACTTTATGTGTTATTCTTGGTAAATATTGTTGTTTACAGATGACATGAAATATCTTCGTCCTCTTTGTAGGGTTGTTCGTGAAGGAAAAGAACGTCGTAGGCAATGGGCTCAAAAGAAAACACCAAGACGACCACGAACTAAAGAAAGCATCCAAGATGTTGTAGAAACTGAAACGATTGAGGATTCCCATGATAATAAAGGCATGCTACCAACTGACATAGTCCAACTGCTTGCAGCTCGGGAAAAGTATGTTATACATCTCTCTCTCACTCTCTCTGTCCCCATATATTTATATATGCAAAATCCTAATTAAGAAAACATATTGAATCTGCAGGCAAGTTTTTGTATCAGACTCTGAGGAAGAGAAGGAAGAGAAAACCATGAAAAAATCGACCTCAAAAAAGAAAAGGTCCAAAAGCTCTGGGTGAGGGACTTCTTCCTTTCATGGTGACGAGAGAATAAAATGTCTTGCATAAATAGCTTCTCAATTAAACTTTCTCTCTCTTAATTATGCTTTCACAGGCTCGAACCTGTTATTTTGAAGGACATTCCACCTGCTCAATGCTTTCAGAACTCCTTGGAGTTTTTGAAGAAAAGGAAAATGCAGGTTTCAAGGTCATCTTCTGTTTTGAACAACTCCAATAAAGCTCTACGCATGCTCTCTACTTCTGGTTTGTTAAGTATGAAATGATGAATGACCAAATATGTCGACTCATTCTGGATCTGTCATTGATGTCTTGTTTTTCTTTTTCTTTTTCTTTTCTTTTCTCTTTCTTTTTGTTGTTATTAGTGGTGCACATTAGCACAAGTTTGTGCATGATCGACATGGAAAAGCCAGTATGTGCTAATTGTTGTGCTAATTGTTAAATCATATGAATTAACTATTTGTGTCAATCTTCCCATTTCTACTATATCTTCTTTTGAGATTCTTTATTAGCCTGGAATGCTTTTTTGAGTCCTTAAATATCTCTCTTGTTATACATTCATGGATGATACGATCATGATCTGTACCAGGTTTCACCAATAATTGGCTGATTGTGCAGTTTCTCTTCAGCCTAAGGCTGTTCAATCATTTGCGGTTGGGGCATACTATATTAACTTTAATTAATCTGTTCAGTTAATTATTAGCTGATCTCTCTCCACTCATCCACCATCTTGTTCTCAATTTTGCTTTATGCTTTCCACAGTAGTTCTACCAAACAAAGGATAAATATTATCTACAATGGGGATTCAATTGACACAAGCCTTGATGGTCATGGTGTTTTGAGAAGTTCATCCCTTGTGGGTTTTGCTTTATCATTGATTTCTAAAGATGGACCGAGTCAGTCACTATAAATAAATGGAGGGACTATATAATTGATATAAACATGAAGGCTGTTAGTCTGTGCTTATATGACTGACCAAAGCCATGCCATTGCTTTTATGGCATTTTTACTTTAATTTTGTATGCTTCTATTTGGTAGGTAGGTTTTTTTTTTTTTTTTTTTTTTTTTTTTTTTTTCTTTCACAGGGTGGAGTACGAAAAACCAACATGAAACCTGTGGAACAATGATGTTGATGCTAACTTGGAAAGATTTTAGCCATCAAGATAGGATATGCTAGTGAAAGCAGAAACAAGCCAAATAGAAGAGAATAATCAGTATATATCCATCTCATAATTCATACATAGCATCAGACCCTGCTGGCTGGTGGTAAGGTCTCGTGTTCACCACCAGCAGAGCAGCCAGTTCAACATTTTTTTATTTTTATTTATTTACAATCGGTAGGAGAAATAGGAAAATGGGAAACTGCATAACGCAGCGGTAATGCTCCAACCCAGAAATCATGCTTGGTAGTGGAGTAACTCATCCACGAGACCAGCCCTTGATCTTAGCCAATTACAGCAGTACTTTTAAGTTAAGGAGCAGAGAAAGCATCATCCTGTTCCAGCCACCTCTGCTGGTGGGCTGCAACCATATCAGCCTGTCCCGAGCAGGAAAAAGAGCTGCTGAGGAGAGCTTGGAAAGGGCTTCGGATCTTGTTTAAGCACTTGTGGTGTCGAATTCGCCGGAGGACTACATCTTTGTCCAGAGGCTCTGAGGTACTATGAGCTGATGATGATTTCAAGTAGAGGTAGCTTGTAACAGAGTTTGTGTCTCTACCATCTGAGACTGATGAGAGGTTCTTCACTTCCTGGTTCTTATTAGATGATATCACGAAAGCCATTTCTTGATCTTAGATGTGGAATTTTAGTAGTATATATGGAAGGAAATGGGAGAGATTGCGAGTGTTATATATAATGCAATTTGGGGCTCTGCATATAATATGTATACACACGTGTTATGATATGTAGTTTATAAATGAGTTTTTCCTGTGGGTTGGTTTGGTCACTGGTTTTGTCTGTTACTTCATATGGGATGTTTTTTTATTTTGGGTTTCTTCCTCATGTTGCATTTCTCTAGTGTGGTGGGCTATGGGTCTGAGTGGACTGCCTAGATGAGTGTATGACAATAGGTGGTTTCACCCAAGTTGAATCACCATCCTTGTATGGTGGATAAGGCTTGTGTAATGTTAGAAACACACAAAATTTTCATAAAGTATGATATAGAAGTGAGACGAAAAAGAAATGTAAGAATTAAATAGAATCATGACACTACAAGACAATAAATGTAGGAATAAATTATTACAATTTAAAAATAAAGAAGATAAAAAAGAAGAAGAAATTTAAGACAAAATGAGGGTGCAAAAATATATACAAATCAATTGCTTAATATGTTCGTTAGTCAGCTAACAAACTAATTCATTAATTCCGTTTCTCTTAAAAGATGAAATGGTAAAAGAAAAAAAGGAAAAAAAAATGCAAGTATGAGACATGGAAAAGGTTTATGCCTTTTGTTTGCCTAACAATTAATTTGTTTCTCTGTGTCTAAAATAAATAAATAAATATGAAAAAAAAAAAGAAAGAGGACGTATGGGGGGCAGTAATATTAGCTTGATAGCAAAAACAGATGAACAGTTTCCAGAGAGTAAAAAAAGAGTGCTGCTATTAGCACTTATCAAAATTTTTTGGACCCTCCATTTCTTTGGATCCCAACCCTAAACCCTAAATTTTAATAATATTTTTTTGGACACCCTACTTATTACCAAATCTACCCATATTCGTAATACTTTCATAATGAAATGCACACCCACCTAATTTTTCATCCCTCTTTTTCCCTGACTCACTCAATCTTCAGAGTTTGGAGCTTTGGTCCAGTATAGTTCCTCCGACCTCCCCATTACGTAAGGATCGTAATTCACTCTCATACCCTTCTTCACTACTGTTCCATCTGGCAACACGTCGTTCTTTAAAGCTTGTTTTCCGTCAATGGGGATGGGTGGGTAGAGTCTCATGGTCTTGCTCAGCGACGCGTGTGTGTAAACCATGTCATTCAAGAGAGTAAAAAAAGAGTGCTGCTATTAGCATTTATCAAAATTTTTTGGACCCTCAATTTCTTTGGATCCCAACCCTAAACCCTAAATTTTAATAATATTTTTTTGGACACCCTACTTATTACCAAATCTACCCATATTCGTAATACTTTCATAATGAAATGCACACCCACCTAATTTTTCATCCCTCTCCTTCCCTGACTCACTCAATCGTTAGAGTTTGGAGCTTTGGTCCAGTACAGTTCCTCCGACCTCCCCATTGCGTAAGGATGGTAATTCACTCTCATACCCTTTTTCACTACTGTCCCATCTGGCAACACGTCGTTCTTTAAAGCTTGTTTTCCGTCAATGGGGATGGGTGGGTAGAGTCTCATGGTCTCGCTCAACGACGCGTGTGTGTAAACCATATCTTTCATTTCTTCGTAGATTGGAGCTTCGGATTTCTCATTGATTTCTTTGAGAATCTCAGTTTCTACATCTGGATTTTTGGAGACAAGCCAGAAGAACCAGATTAAAGCTTTCATCTAAATGCCCTGAATTCAAGAATCTCGATAGAAGATCAACAGATTCGAGTGATGATTTTGAATTTGTTCACCACTGTGTAGCCGAAAAAATGTATTTTGTTCAGAACTGTTTTGTCGAACAATAATGATCCTGTCAACACTGTATGTCCGAACAAAATTTGTTCATCACTGTGTAACTTGAATCCATTCCAATTCACAACTTAAAATAACATGAATTAAATCCATTCAAAATACGTAACTTAAATCCATTCCAATTCACTCTTTTTCATTCTAAGTTAGTTTAACAAAGAAAATTACATAACTGACAATCTACATTAATGTTCGGAACCTATGTATTGAACGAAAGGATTATGTTCAGTACTGTATTACCGAACATAATTCTAACAGTCAGCAAACCAGTACCGAACAGCTCGAACGAAACAAGAACGACCGAAAACGACCGAGAATGTTAATACAAGACAGATAAACTTATTAATGGAACGCCGGTCTCACTAGAATTGTTGTCCTCGTCCTCCATTGTTTTACACAGTAAAATAAGTGATGAAGTATACGTTATACTTGAAGCAAAACTTTCAAGTTCAATAGCGTTGATGATGGTGATGAAGATGACACATTCAGGATTTAAGATGATTATGAAAAAAATAGATTTAGGGTTTATATTAGTTGGTTACGAAAAGTAATAGGTTTAGGGTTTACAAACATGGAATACGTATAGTTGGAGTTAGAGTTGGAGTTGGAGTTGGAGGTGGGGGTGGGAATGGGTGTCCAATATTATAGAGTATTAGTTCTTATTGATAGGTGGGTGTTCCATTTAATAATGTCTTCTAATTTAATTTTACTTTAGGGTATAATTGTAATAAAAAAAATTTATAAAATGAGGGGTCTACAGAATTTTGGCAGGTGCTAATGGCAGCACTCTAAAAAAACAAGGGGAAATATCACATCAGGTTATTTGAAAAAGTATTTATAAATCAGTGGAAAGTTATATAAATATTAGTAATTAAATTTATAATATTTGGAAGAATTACATGCAGGTGGGAGAAGGTAAAAAAAATTGCCAACAAGTGACATTTGCATTGCATCTCGGAGCCTTTTATTTGTACCTATCACAGATACACTTGTAATTGTATTCCATGTGTTTATAATTTTTTTTCCCTTTTTTCTCACCGGCATATAATTTCCCTAATATTTTTCATGAATTTGAAGAAAAAAAAAAAGGAAAATGAGTGAGAGTACTAATTAGTGTTATCACTAATGATGTGACAGTAGGCCCCGCCATGAATGATTTGATATTTTGGCCTTAGTGTTATATTTTTTTTTCTTTTTTTATTGAGTGTCGTGTCATTAGTGGTCTTTTTAAAACTCTAAAATTAGTGGTCTCTATTATTGTTGGAAAAAAAAATCTGCCTCCCAAGTGTGATTACCCCAAAAAACAATGGGCATCATCCGTTGGTTTTGGGTCAAAACAGAGTGCTGCTTATTTTATTTTTTTTTTTGTATCTTAGCGGGAATGGAATGGGACACTGTTTCACTTCCCATGTCATATACATGCATATACACACAAACAGAGAGAGAGAGAGAGAGAAGTGATATTGAAGCCAACCTTGATCTGCTCTGATTGATTAATTTGGGGGGGGGGGGGGGGGGGGCTCCTCATGGTTTGTATTCTCATCTTGTCCCAAAAGATCCGTAGACAGTTGGATTAATGGGGGGCTCATGGTTTGTACTCTCCTCATGTCCCAAAAGATCATTAGACAGAGGGTGGTGGTTTTGTTATTTTGTCAAATCGGTGTATGCTTTACACGTGACCATGTCTTTTGAATTTTTTTTTGTTTTTTTTTATTTTATTTTTTGGGAGATTGGAGGGTGCTGTTGAATTTGTAAGAGTCCATCATGAGTTTTCTTTTGATAATCCGAATCGTTCAATATGTAGAATTCGTCGAGTATTATATGTCTGAAAAAAATTACGTTGATCGGATATCAATAGCTGTTTCATCAAATCAAATTTATGGCAACCGTTTATTTTTTCACCATCTATTTTTTTATATAAAACTGACTTGATCACGTAGCTATCGATATTCAATCAATGTAATTTTTAACATATATATAGTACTCAACGATTTTTACACATTCAACGGTTCAGATTATCTAAACAAAACACATGATGGACCTCCACGGACCCAACAACACCCTCCAGTGCCAAACCCTCAATCAAAACCTTCTCATAATAAAACTTTAATACATTAAGGAGAAGTACAAAAAAATTTCTTTAAAAAATTCAACATGTACTATTTTTATAAAAAATATTAAATTTTAAAATAATATAATTTTTAATATGATGTCGGTTTTTAATAAAATTAATATTTTTAAAATTCTGTCATCAAGATCTATCAAATAAGATCCATATTGATTTTGAAATTCTTAAAAAAAAATTATGATCATCAAAATTTTTGACAATATTATTCAAGAAAGAAAAAAGAAAAATATATTTTATTTTGTCGTTACTCAATTATGTGTTTTGTTATTAGGGAGTTTATAGAACAAAATAAATTGATTCGTTATTTTCACTAAGCAATGGTCCAATGGAGAGATTTTAACTAAATTTTTCTTTGGTTTTTTGTACTTCAAAAAATGAAAGTTTATTGTACTACTACTACATTAAAATATCGGCGGAACTGGTAAATTCATCCAAACTAATCCAAGCACACAGTTTGGATAATTTTTTTTTAAGGCCAAAATATTAATTGTAAATTTTGAGTGTCAGAGAGACATAGTTAATGAAACCCTAACATTATGTTTGGGAAGTTGAGAAAAAAAAATATTACATAAGTTATAAGAGAAAAGAAAATGAAAAAAAAAAACATGTGATTTCTCTCATTGTTTGGATAAATGAAATAATAATAATAAAAATAATAATAATAATAATAAAGATATTTTTCTATCTTGTCTAATTCAATTGAATAAAATGATGAATAAATAAATTGTTTCATGTTATATTGTCAAAATATTATTTTATAGGTGTTATTTATTTACTTCATATCTAGAAGGGAAGTTTTAGTATTATAAAAAAAAAAAAATTATTATTTTATTTAAGTGTTGTTGATAATATTCCTTTTTTTTTTTAAATCTTCCATTTCTTTGGCCCCTACCCACCTAAATGGTTCCCCACTTCTTTTTCTTTTGACCTCAACCTTAATTCCAAATATACCCTTCTTCTTTAGACTCCCCACCCCCGGCAACTCTTCTTTTAGTAGCTCATCAATCGCTAGTAGCCTCCCATCGCCGACAACCTTACCATCTTTGATGCTGACCATCTTCCTCCTTCCCTGCCTCTCACCTTCTCCAACGCCACCTTTCTACCTTTCAACTCACCTTCTTGGTATAAATTTATTGTTGGATTGAAGTATGGTCATTTTGAATTTTCTTCATTAATCTCGACCTCATGAACCTTTGTGCCGAACTTTTGATCTATGATCGGAACTATTTGGTTGAATAAACCTATTTGGTTAGACCATGCTGAATTGTTGCCTCTAATTCGATTGGAGTTTGCCACTTTTTGGATATATGGTCGAGAGTTCAATATTGAACAAATGTTGAACCTTCTTTTTTTTTGTGTGCAAGAACTTGCCACTACAAGATGAATCTCCTCCAAGCTGTGAACCTTCTCTAAGCTAACATTGTCATGCTCCATTTGTCTCACTATATTGGGATTGCTAGATTTAGATCTAGATCTAGATCTAGTCAGAAAAAACTTCACTTACGTAAATTGAGTTTAGTTGAAAAGGGAGTAAGGGTGTCGAGAGAGAAGGAGATGAGGGGTAGAGTGAAGTGTGAGAACTGGGATGGGGTTGTCTAGGTGGTGGCGGGGACGGTGCTGGAGTTGAGGGTTGTTGGTGGCCAGAGCTGGGACTTGTGAATGGAGAGGATTAGGATTAAGAGTTTTGAGAGGAAAGGGATGAGGACAAAATTAAAATTGTATGTTAAGATAAAATTGTAATATAAAAAATATTAAAATGCAAAGGAAAAAAATGGGATGCTATTAATATCCCCTTACTTTATTTATTTTCTCTACAAATTGTTCGAGTTTTAAACAAATTCAAAATGAAATTACTTTCTTTCTCATTTCTCTCTATTTCTTTCCTCTTCACTTATCTAAACAAGCAAATGTAGACTAAGAAAAGTGCATTTCTTTTCTTTCTCCAAATTACCTAATCCAAACGAGTTATAAGAGTTGGCTTAGTGGTCAGTAACTTGACCCTCGATGTCTCCTGACGCATTAAGTGAAAAGTTTGACTCCCATTGAGTGCCATTAATCCCCTTTGAGCCACGCTCAACAGCATAGCCCAAGATTTACCAGTCTCATGTGAAGAGAGCCCTTTGCATTGGGTATTGGGTTTAGTCGGGGTTTACCCCATTATAGGGCAAAAAGAAAAAGATAAAATAAAATATAGAGTTAATGCAAAAGCAATTCAGCACAAAGCCATTATATTTATGTGGCTCCTCCGACAACAAAGCTTTGCCCACAACTTAGAAAGTGAGAAATCGAACTCTAATCCAGTTGAATGGTGATAAAATAGCATAACATGTTTCTTATTCTATATTTTTTCATCCTCTTCTTGTGTGTGTGCGTGTGAGAGAGAGAGAGAGAGAGAGAGAATTTCCACTTGAGCCTTCACTGCTGCAATTCACATTTTGTGAAAGCATAATGCTATACAAATAAAATTTATTTACAAAAATTCCATACTAATACATCTTAATACGACTGTGTCATACTTACAGTCCTAGAATCAGAGACCCAAAAACCTTAGTATACGTTCATTTATCGTCATTTTTATTTTCGTCAAGAAAACTTAACAAAAAACCACTCACAATCCTTCTTGCTACAGGATGAGGAATATTGCGGCATAATCGTCCATCAATGTAAGCAAGTATACCAGAAAACACAAACTTGCCAATTCCCCACTTCCAGGAAAGCTTCATCTTCTGTCCTAGTGATGTGGATGCCGGTACAATGGCTTTCTTATCATCGCCCACAACTTTTTTCTTCAACTTCATTCCTGCAATAAACTTACCCACTTGCTTTCTCAGTATTCGGATAGCAAAACTCACAAAGAGGTGTTCACACAAAGTCAGCACTGTCGGCCCAACTTTCCACTCCTGTAAGAAAATTATGCATATATTAGAAATACGTTCGGTTTATGGTTGTAGGGTCAAATGGTATCTTAAGTATTTCCAATAAGGTGAGTAAATGTGTTAGAGAAAACACTCATACCTAGCAATTTACATATTGGTATGCACGTTCCAAAACACGTTATACTAACATTCTAAAACGGTGAATTTAGCAATCTAAAATGATTCCCATACTTCGTTACTATTTTTTTCCATAAAGTTTCCTAAGAACGAAAAAATCAACTGTAATAAACTAAAATAGACAATATTTTTATTGAATTTCTAATTGTTCAAAAAATTGGTCTAGAATATAAGTCCAACCGTCGTATCACATTTTAAAGCATGTGACATACTACATTCCCGTCCTTGTTTCTGCTCCACATGGTGGAACAATCCTGGTTCTAGGTAACATAGAAACCTTAGTTCGGAATAAGTTTTTATTCAACTTTACTTTACTAAGCAAGTTAGGAATAAGTTTCTATTCAACTTTACCAACCAAGCAAGTTGGTACCAAACTAACACGCATGAGAACAGAAAGCAAGATGATGCAACTACTACACTACATGTTATATCTTCTATGTCAAAGCTTTCAAATGTGATGAGAAACCACCACTGAGGCGGTGATCAAACTTGTACGGTAATCCTGCGAAGCAGATCTTTCTAAGTAAAGAAGAACTGCAAATGAAACAAAGCAATCACATACACTATCTCCACGACGGTGGCGTAAAGGCTGAGAAGTTGAAGAATCTCCTTTCAACAATGCCTTGCTTACAAGGAAGCGCTTCACACGGTCCATGATCTCCTCTATAAGGGAACTGTTTGGGGGCAGGCTTTTGAGCAAAACCTGTGGAGAATGGTTATGCATGAACACTCATAACTCAAACAACAAATTTAGCAAGGGTCTAACAAACGAGCATGTATTAAATGAGTCTTTTTTCAAACTGATGATTGCCATCATCAAAGATTTCTGCTACTCCAAAAAAGATGATTTGCAAGTGAATTTCACATCAACCATAATACAAATATTTATTCGAATTTTGAGCGCAGAAACTTATTCTAGTGTCATAGTGGCAAACCTAGACACAACACAAACTGTGTCATACTTCAAGTCTTATGTGGCAAGATGGTGAATGTATCAAATAATTGATAGCTTTCACCGCACCCCCCAAAAAAAGAATTTAAACAAATATCAAACTTGCAAAATTATCTTCTATATGCGGTGTTGATTTTACTCGTGCTTTGTTTTCTCATAATAAAATGGTTGAGATAATACAATAACTGATCATTAAAGACAAAAAAGAAGTCACCTGGTTGTCAACAACTCTGACTCTCAGATATTCTTGTTTATATATTGTATCTAACATAGCTTGCAGGTACCCTTCAATATATAGCTGCATTTTCCCAATTAGAAAATTACTGCCTGATTTTATATTTTACACCTGCTATATAGAAAAATGTCACGGTAACATTACAACTAGCAAAAATAAAAGACGCAAATAAATGAACGTACATATAAACTGTGAACTTTTTTGGGCCAGTAACCTTTTTATTACCAAAAACGAAAGTTACACAACAATGCTCAAGACACATCAAAAGAGGCTAAGAAAGACTAGCTCCAAGTAGCTCCAAGGCCCTGGACATGTGACCAGCCTTTCAGCTCATAATATTTTGCAATTCTACCCCCAACATCAACATCACTCCAATCAACTCGATTAACAAATTAGTGCCCTTTTATCGTATATGACAACAGCCTTGTGAATTTATTAGCAATTCCAGAAGAAGAGGATCAACTGGACGACCAAAACAGTTTTTTGCTATACTTTACATTTGCAAGAAACTGAAGTATGCAGAAGAATAGAATGATTGAGGTGAGAACATTACAAGACATACACAAGAGAAAGGAAACAAAGTACAAACTCAACTCACAAGAAAGACTAGACCCAAAAGTAAGTACATATATATGGGTATATATATACCTCATCAATCCCAGGACTTTGATCGAGTAAAATTTTTCGATCTGGGCCACCTTCCATAAAAGCAGCACCCAGTACTGATGGTTCCATAGCCAACTTCAATATTCCTTGGTGGAAACCAGTCACCTGAAGAAAATCATGGACATCCATTTTAAAATTGTCAAGCTGAAATTTTTTAAGTTGTTAAAATGTTTCCTTCACATTTATTAATTAGACTGTGGTATTCATATGATGGTGAATTTTACCATTCCATTAAAACCACTTGCTTCTGCACCCTTCAGCACCGAGTCTGATACTTCAGTGACTGCAGCAAACAGCATATTTGACCCAGCTGTTTTCATCTGCACAACCAGCAGGCTACAAAATTTATGGCAACTGTAGCAGACTTAAAATTGAAAAGTGTACAAAACTTACAGTTCTTCCCAAATCACCAAGATAGCGTTTTGTCCCAGAAAATCCTTTACCATCAATACATTTGCTGATGAGTTTGAATGTACCTATCCATGACAGTTCAGGCATCGGCAATGGATTACAATGCGAGGGCATTAGTAGTTTGCAACTAAAGCATCACAGGAAACAGGCATCAATGGAGTTTCACATCTGACATGAATACCTAAAGTGCTAGACATACTGATAAAGCAAAGAAGACTACATAACTGTCTTGTTATCATTTTTAGTATAATTAGCTATCTTAATTCATTTTAGCAGAAGACAATATACTTGCACATTCCCCAAGGAAAAAGAAGAAGAAGAAGAAGAAAAGAATATATTCTTGACTACTTTGATAAAGCTTTCCTTGTCTGCTACATCTGAAATTTCATGCATAGTTACTTTCACATGGACCAGTGCAAAAGGTTTTCTCACTATCATAAGAAAATAATGAAGGCAACATTTTTTACTTAAACTTGAGACGTCTGTAGAAGTTAGGCATCTACATTCTTTAATGCAGCATTGCAGCAGAACCATACCCAATTATCGAATGATATAGAATCCATAGCTGTCTAGGACGGGAATTATGTCCTCATGATATGACAAGGAAATCCATTACCACATTCTGAAAACATACTATAAAGCAAAAAAACTTCAGTATCAAATACAAATGGAAATATAAGTTGCCACAAGAAGCATTTATGATGATATCCATATTGCTAGTTACGAATGAAACAGCACCATGCTAAATCCAGCATTTAGCACCGCCAAAGCTACAACTGGCCTAGTCTATTACCTTTTCAGGCACCCTTTCAAGCCATGTCAAAGTGATATGGCTTTGCCAACCAATTTGCCATCATTATCAAGGCAAATGAATAAATAATATTAAGAATAGCACCAGTGAGAAGAATAGAATCAATGTCATGAAAATAGATATGACTAAAGAGCTTGTATAATTCTTTCATGCTAAATCCAAATCACCCCAAGAATAGAAACTTCAAAATGTTAGAGAGAGAGAGAGAGAGTGAGTAAATACCTATAGTGAGCCCTGGAATATTGATCAGGCCACTGGAAGGATCAAAAAAGACATCAAGAGAGGATGACGCCATGTCATCAAAAATAGAAGCAAAAGCTGGCGGAAGCAATGGGCTTCCTTTTGCAATATAGATGGCCCTCATGGCATACCTAGAAACCCAAACCACTTTTTATACATGAAAAAATTACATATGTACAGAAGTTAAAAAATAAAAATATAATTAACTCTTACCACGAATAATGTTGTGCACATTTGATAAACAATTCCCGTGTGGTAATCAAAGCATGAGTAACCAAGACCCCATTGAGCTCTACAGTCGTACTTTTTATGGCAGGGATCTAAAGAAGATGAAGTGAGATGGTTGGCACAAAAAAAATTTAAAAAGAAAGGAACAAAAGAAAATAAGGGGAAGAATGAATCAGGTAATGCCGGCGAGATATAATAACAACAAACACAAATTCCATGTGAGGGCATAGAGCTATGAAGCATTAAAATAAATTTCAAGTCCTGTTTGTCAGACCTTTATCACACTATGCAGCAAAGACCTCAATGTTTCCTGCGTTGAACTATAACTGGAATACGAATCCCCTGGAAGAAAGCTTGCTATGATCTTCAAACACACAGAAATACATGTAAGCCACCTACTGTGATGGAGGACACAATCATTAAGATATTAAAGACATTGACACAATTAAGGCGTAAACCTTTATTGGGTGAATCTCAAAATGATCAAAATAGTACTGTTGACTATTTGAATCACTGAGGGATGTTCTCCAAAATGGAACAAGCTTCATTAGCGTCTCCTCATCAAGATTCAAATCAAGTGGCTGTGGATGTGGTTGACAACTATCAGTAAATCATATCATCATGAAGTTTCTTAAACGCAGAAATTTGAGAATCAAACGCGGAAGAAAACAACAGCTCAGGAGAGCATATCGAAAAAGATACAGTTCTACTTCTCTTACCTGAAGAACAATTGAGGAGTATTTAATTTGTTTGACATTGGAACTGGATGAAAGTAGAACAACAACTACATGGAGTATATTATCAGTTGCATTGCTATAGTCTGGTTGATGTCTACGAAGCATTGCTGCGAAAGGAGCTCCAACCCACTTCTCATCCACACTGAGTGACTACATTTGGCAAATATGAAGGAAATCTGGTGAAAGAGACCCAACTCAAGAACATCCAGATTCTTTTATGCAAAGAAAATTGAAAGTCCGTACAAGAGATCCACAATTATTATAAAATGTACCAGCACATGAAAAAAAAATTACCTGCACCCTGATCTCGTTGTAATTCTGTTTATCAGTAAGCATACAATCTAGATTGATGTTTTGAAGCCTGGCAACTATGATTGGTGTGTAAACTGATGCCTCACTCATATCCACATCCTTCGGCAAATAATAAAATCACACAAACTGTTAGTTGAAAGAACTTGTTTTATCAAAAGGTACAACTCTGGAATTTCAATTTGCCAGTGGTAAAATTAGTTTAGAAAGCAAGATAACTAGCTATCCTGGCCTCCATTGTATGAATTCAAACAAAATGACAGTTGAACACTATAACATAAATTGGAAGAGATGGTACTTATCCATTACGCCTATTAATTTTCTTCATCAAACAAAAAACAAAGTCACAATTCAGGAACTACCTTTTAATTCATCAAGTTTTATCAATTTGTACGAGCAACTGCAAGTTTTAGAAGTTTTCTTTTTCTTTTTCTTTTTCTTTTTTTTGGATAAATAACTGCAAGTTTTAGAAGTTAAAAAATATTGGAACCGGGAAAGCAGAATACAGAATTGGGCAAGCAAAGACATTACATACATTATTGCCACCAGCTTCAATCATATGAAAATAGGTATACAAGTCACAGTTCATGATCAAACATTAACAAATATTATAATTCTAAGGCCATAATAGACAATTGATGGTTTAACAATTGGATAAACAAAGAGTGACTAATATATGTTTAATCAGTATGATGCCCAAAATCCTTTTTGTTGTATGGAGTAGAGAAGAAACTTAAAAGACACCAAACATAAGAAATGAAATGGCATGAAATGGTCACAACAACATAAGCATTGACAAATTGAGACTGACCTGCTTGGCATGTTCAAGTAAGTTGAGTGCAAAAGAGGAGATTTTCAATCGTATCTTTTTACTTGAATGGAACAGTGTATCTTGTTTGTGACTATCACAAAACTCACAAAACCGCAACACTCGTGTGGGGCCATCTGCACAAACTTCATATCCCACATTCACCAACTGCAAGCCAATTGATTCACCAAAACTACTTTTTTTCTGGTCTCCTGGGTTTTTATCCGAAGGCAAACGAAACCCCAAACCCCTGTGTTGGCTGACTCTATAAAATGGTTTCCATGCTCGCACTTTATCCATGTTAATTTCACGTAACAGATTTATACCTACAAGAGGAAAGCTAGATGTAGTCATAAAAAATAGTTTTAATTTACCTCTAGAAAATATTTCACTGAACCATCAGCCGACTATTGGAATTAGAGCGCAACATAAACCAGAACATGACACAAATACATCAAACACAAAAGTAGGCAGTATAGTTAATAAATTGTTTTTAACCAAATGCATATAATTATAAATTTTCCATGAAAATTACACAACAGAAAAGTGCAAAAAAATAAATAGAAATATTTGATGCCTCAATACCCAAAAAAAATGAAGTACAGCTTTTGGAATGGATTAAATAAGTAAATAAAATGGAAACATGCACATGAACGAACTCACCCATAACACGCACACATGTAATGCAAAACCTTAGGCATAAACTGCAAAGACATTGTTACAATCCATAGAACGGTAGCCCTTTTTTTTTTTTTTAGGGGGGATAAATATCCATAGAACGGTAGCTTTTGCTAAGGCATGTTCATTTAGAACAACTTATTGTACTCTTCCAATTGGTTGGATTGTAGGTGCAATGCTTTACTTCCCGAGCGAGGTCTCTGGTTCAAGTACAGGATGGCCTAGCTGCGAGCAATCGAGTGCCAAAGATTGAAGAAGTTCAGAGACTCTGATTATGGCTTTGATCTTATATCGGGGTATATTTCCATGAGCATATTGCATTAGACTAGGAAACTTATTTTTAATGTCATTTTTACCAACCTATAGGTAGTCCTGTGAGCTTTTGGTTTACAACTATTCAAAGCAAGATTGTTTGGCAAATCTTGAGAGCCTTGCTTGAAGGGAGCTTGATGGTTGTTGAGTGGGTTGTCCTTTACCAGAAGTCCTACAAAACACGCTCAATAATCGTTTGAATGGCACTTGAATGGGTGTTGTAGCTTTCTGCAGAATAGAGATCCAGAGAGGGCTGCTCTATACCTGCCCAAGCGGAGCTCGAGTAGCACATTATTACTTTTTTTTAATTGTGTGAAACATTTTTCCTAATGAAATCATAAATAGGCCATGTCTTTTTGTTTTTCAGACTTGGTTTTGCAAACCCTAACCTCTTTGGATCCCTTCCTAATATAATACCCTAGTCTTTTATGACTCAGGAGTTAGATTAATTTGTTGATGATTGTTGAGTAAAACTACTTTGAGTTCTTTCCTGAAAAATACACATTACTCTAGTTTGACCATGTTCATTGTGCATTGATTTTTTATTTATTTTTATCAGCAACAAAAGACAATTATTAATAATGGAGAAAGGAAAATTACGTAAGAAAATGGAAGACAAGAAGACCATCAAGAAAAACAAAAATTACGCGTCACATACTGCCCATCAATCTCTACTAATGAAATCCATACTGCCAGACCAATGGGCTATGACTGGTCAACTGGTCAGGCTTGGGCTACAATACCTTTGTAGAGAGAGATATTGGTGAAGCAAGAAGAAAGCAGAGGTGGCTAGATCCAGTGCAAAGGAAGAGTACACGACATTGACTCATGGTACTTGTGAGCTTATGTGCCTTCAGATTTTATTGGGAGATCTGGGAGTATATGGTGGTGAATGAGTAGTATTGTGCCAATAAGGTTGCCATTAATACTGTTCATAACCTGGTTCAGCATAATAGAACCCAGCCTATCAAGATTGACAGACACTTCATCACGGAGAAGTTGAATATGGATTTGATTCATGTCTTTTGTGAGATCAAAAGACAACTATACTAATGTATTCACTAAAAGCTTAGTACTAAGGTTTTCCACCACACTGATTGCAAGTTAGACATAAGAGACATCCTTACACAAACTTGAGGGGGAATGTTATATCTTATGCTTTTACACGTTAGTAGCCTGGGGGGTATTTTCATACTTTGAACCTTATATAAAAACTTGTGTCTAAGGGAGAGAGGACCCCAATTTTTGGTCTCTCTCATTAGCCGTTCAATATATTTTTTCTCTCCCCTCTCTTTCTTCTTGTCTTTTCCTTATGCTGGATATTTAATTACATATTTTCCGTTGACTTTGTATCAGATTTAAATGACCAGATAAACAAGATTATAATAGCATTGCAATGTCATTTCAAAAGACAACTTTGAGATTTTTTCCTTTTAAGGTTGTTTGACCAACATGAAAATCACAAACGAACAGCATTCAAACATATTGGGAACTTAAATTATCGTAAACAATACAACAAAAATTCAAAAGGAAGTAACTACCATTAATTTGGACAACCAGTCTACGAGGAAGAGTCAAGTCATCCCAGACATAATCAACACTACTCCCAGAACCTAGATTTTCATGCTCCACTGAACCCTGGAAATTCACCCAATAACAATTTAGAAGGAAATTATGAGTGTGTATATACAATACATATATCACAATTTAAATTATGCATCTATTATTATTATCCTCTAGATAAGAAGGGGAAGGCCAAAATCACAACCTTTTGATAGTAGATGATGAATGTTTGGTGCAAGCTATTCTCAATCCGGTATGGCAGATTGACATTTGGTGGCTTGTGGAAATGCATAACAAGAGTAGAACTTTCTTCCACCACATGAACAGATGCAAATTCCGTTGTCTCTCATTTTATCTTACAGAAGGGGAAGGCCAAAATCACAACCTTTTGATAGTAGATGATGAATGTTTGGTGCAAGCTATTCTCAATCCGGTATGGCAGATTGACATTTGGTGGCTTGTGGAAATGCATAACAAGAGTAGAACTTTCTTCCACCACATGAACAGATGCAAATTCCGTTGGATTGTTGCCATGTGCAGTTACTTGATTAGATTGTTGTGCAGAAAAATCTGAGGATCTTCTGAATTTCAGAAAAAAACGCCCAAGTGAAGCCACACATACTGGCCCCGACCAGCCCATTCCAACCTTACTTGGTTGAAACTGAATGAATGCCAATGAATCATCATGAACATTCCTGTGCTTTTGGACAAATTTCTCAAAAACACTAATTTCCCCCCTATTAGTTCCTCTCCGCAACTTTAATGCTATTTTCTGTTTACTGTTGATAGCAATCCCTTCCATGTCATCCTTTTTAAAGTGAAATGACAAGAATACATTTCAGAATATTATAACACATCCAGAGAAAAAGGACATTCAGAATGGATAAATAAGAACAAACCTCCAAATAACATTGTCGGACAACAATAGCTTCCTCTGATTCATTGAATACAACATATCGTGGGACCATAGATATTATTTGTGATGATACATTTACTTCACTCAAAACTGGTCCCAAAGATACCCCCAACTTTGCAACGTGTTTGAATCCAGATTGTTCCTCTACTTCCAGGCCTATCTCCGCAAGTCCTGAAAAGGCATCCAAGTCCAACAGCACCTCAGATGCTTTCTCTTCCAACAACTTCAGGCGCACCTTGTTGTATCTGCAAACAGAAGGTATACAAGTTAGCCACTATTAGATAGGGACCTATCAAGCATTGCATTGGCATATGATAGGGAAATGTGAAACTGTCAGCTAAGGCACTTATGTTACTTCATGAACCACGATTTAGTTGACTTTGGGGGCAAAAATGATCCAAGCTCTGGAGGAATTTTGAAACCAAGCTTTTCGGCCTCATCCCTGAATATACTAAGTTATAAGTATGGCAAGAAACAAGTAAGATAATGAGCTGCACAAATCAATCCAACATAGTCAGATCAAGTGATTACCTCGAAAGAGGCTTCTGATTGGGTGGAAAGCATAACAAAGGAAAATCGGTGTCATTTTTCAGAGTGTATGACGTAAAGATAGCCACCTGCAAATAATACAGAATTTAGCTTTTCCAACTGATGTTAAACAAGCACAACTATGGTAGCTGACATACTTCTTGTTATGAGTGCAGAACTCAGAGAGCAATCTTGCAAATGGCTAAAAACCTATCTTGTAGTTTATATTTATGTGACAAAAAACATAAGTTGTAAGAATGTTACCTCCAGTATGCCCCTATGCCCACGAGACAATCTCAAGGAAGCAAAATATTTTCCACCACCAAAATCCAAATCAATATCCAAATAATGAACATCATTTTTTTGCTTCTGTAACTTCTTAACCCAATCACCACTATTCACTGGCTTACAGCTTGAATTAAATGCAGTTATAGTAACAATGAAGTTTATTGTGGCAGGGTTAGCATATAAATCAACAGTTGACCCACAAGGAATAGTTGCCTGGTTTCCAATGTTTTCACAACCAATAGCAGCAGATGGATCTGCAGCAAGGTAATTGTTAGAAGTGAAAACAGTCTGCATAAATTAAAAATATTATTCTAGACCATTTCTGCTATTACCCATATCAGTTAAAAGCACATGAATATCTGCCTGCAACAAATTGAAGACCCTAACAGTAGGAAGAAGAAAGATTTCCCTCTGCTCCTGTAACGCAACAGGTGAATCCTTATCTGGTTTTATAACAGGTACATCTCTTACAATGCTATGAATTAGGAAATGTAAATCAGCAACTCGTCCATCTTCATATTTGAGGGAACAATGTGTGGTACTGAATGAATATTTCACTGGTTCAACAGAAAAAGCTTTCCGAACTTTGTAACTTAATTTATCAAATACTCCAGCGATACGAACAGCCTTTACACCTTTAAGATCATCTGACCACTCCACTAAAAGTGATTTCTTAGGATTCATCATGTCATCTGTAATTTCGGGTCTAAAAGACAATGAGAAGTTCCCTGCAAATCCGTTTCCATAAAATTTAGTACATTCCCATAATTGTGCTGCCCGAAGCAAAAACTGCATGACTAATTAGTCAATAGTGAAAAGAGAATTTTTTTTTTTTTTATAAAAAAAGAAGTAGATTATGTAACTTAATCTATGAAATATCAGGGACAGTTACTGCATAAAATATATCAAACGTAGAGCATGTAAGAACTTTGAATGGAGAGAAAATAAAGGTCTTACATTAATGGAATAAATCCAATGTAATGATTTTTGCTTTAGCTGATGATATCAGATAGCGTAATCACAAACTATGTTAAGATTTTAATCACAAATTTGAAGCTTTTCCACTTAATCTGACCTTAAATATTTGCTACTTTGTACAAAATCTTAAGTCTTCTATGTGAAATCCAAAAAACATATCTCCTTAGATTTTAGTTTCCCTCCTAGGAATCTAAGCTCAAGCAGCAGGTAGATTTCTTAATAAAAAAATTTCCTTACAATCCCCTCTATCCAACTAAGAATTCTAAGCATATGAGCAGTGGCAGCATCCAACAAATTGATTAGAGGAAGTGTTTTCTCAAAGTATAGTGAACCCTGAAAAAATAAATGCAATATGGCATTGTTTTGAGTGCTTACTGACATTATTGAATTAGGTAGGACACTCGTACAAAGTATTTCTTTTATGGAATTTATCCAGTTCACTTATTGATTCAGTTTGGTCTTGGATTGGTAAAGAAAATCCCGCTTCACACCTTTACAACAGACATGCGATCAAAGCATTGTCCAAAGGAGCTACTGCTCCATAATCAAGATTGCAGAAATTTAGCATTGTCTCAAGTTTATAAGAGGATAAACGTTATCCCCTCCAATTTATATTTGATGCATGTGTCTAGATCACAAGTATTTACAACTGGGAATTTTTATCATCTATTACAATTTGAGTGTATTTGCTATCAGCAATTAAAATCATAACTCCATTGCCTAAATCTCCACAGGAGTAATACTAAATTTGCAGCGTACACACTCTGGCTGACTCCCAACAGCAAGTATACAACTCAGAGCTTATATGACTAACAAACAGCTCATTCAGTTAGCAAGATAATCATCTTATTCTTCGAGAGCCACTAACTCTCATTGAAGTCTACCAGCTCCCTATCAGTATTCTCAATTCTACCCAAATCTGGTTCTTGATGAGAGATTGGATAATATCTTAGGATATGAAGATTTCATATTGGATAGATGCCCCTACCCTTCTATAAATTGTTTGAAAATAGGCTTATGAAATTATGATGCAAATGGCATTTAGTAGAATAGAACTTTATGGCAGAGCAGCTAGTGGACAAACCATAGTAGACTGCATAATAAAGCAGTATGATGTAGAGCAAGCCCAGAAGAGAAGGAGCAAATTTGGAACTTTTTTAAAATGGAGCACACCTTGGGCATTGTGTAATTAAGTTTAAGCGAATTTTGAGTCTTAATACAGTGAAAATTATAAGCTAGTGTGCTGGGATTTGGATTTGGATTTGGATTTGCAATCCTATTACAATTAAGAGAAATGTAATTATGTTTGAAGTTAATTTATGACAGCCGTTAGGCCAACTGTTGGGCTAGGCTATAAAAGACAATACTTCCAGATGGGGGCTGGGTCACACGTCTCACAAGGTATCAGAGCCAGGGTCGTGCCTGCATTGAGGTGGAGATGTTAGCATCCCACATTGGATGCGAACAATGTCTAAGGATGGACTTATAAGACACTTCTATTTAGGAATCATCCATTGCACTTGGAGCCCAAAGGGACAAACCAGTGAGGCAAACTATTGGGCTAGACATAATGAACAAAACTTCCAAGTGGGGGCTGGGCCACATGCCTTACAGACCTGTTTACATATTTGGGTCTGATAGAGGGCTATGTCTAGCCTAGCTCAGTTCATTAATTTTGTAGATTCTCTTCATTCGTAAGGAGTTATAGGACTTTTTGTTTTTTTGAGCGTATAGAACTTTTGGCTTTGGTGCGATACGGGTTATCATTGTTCAACCTTCTGTACATGGGCAGCTTCCCCTTTTGATGCTTTTTTAATAAAACAAACTAATCAAAAAATTACTATAAGTAATGAACTTCCTATTTAAAATAATTATGGTACTAAAGATATTCAAATAAACTCTTTCAAGGGTTAAACATTTCCACAACACCATGTCATGCAACAATGATGCCCATCTATTCATCTGCACGACTATAGTAGCAAGAAAATGACTTCAATTGAACAATCCAAATTAATCTTTTTATTTCAGTAACTACTGGACGAAATAAATCAGACCATAAATGAAACAATACAAACCTGAAATCAGTAGTATATTTTGTTTTGCAGTAATTATTTGATACATATTCAGTGTAGATCTTAGCATAAAAATAGGTATTTTAGCTTTCTTGTGACTAAAATAGGCTTTTTCTCAATTTCTCCCTCAATTGCTGTTCTTTTTATATGTTAGCTATGGACTGCACTCTTCCTTTATAACTAACATAGAACTTCTTATATCGATCAAGTCTTTCATAATGTATTTGTCAACAACAAAAAAGTCTTTCATAATGTATCCATGTCAAATCAAGACAACTGCATCCATGTACACGTTGACTAAAAATTTCATTCTGTAACTCACCACAAAATAACAGAAATACTGAATTATGATGACGATGGTGATGATAATTAGTGATTGTAATCACAATAAAAAAACAAGGGAATACATGTGTTGAAGTTGAATATAGGAATCAAAATATTAAGTTGGAATATGGAAATTAGATAGGACTTAGAATAGGAATTATTTTGATTGTAGAAATCTTACCTTGTGTATAGTTTCTTAAATTGTATAATGAATATATTATATATACATGGCCTCTACCTCATTGATTGGTAAACTAAATAATTCTTTCCATTCTTTTTGGTATTAGAGCCTCCCTAGCCGTCTCTCAATCTACCACCCATCACCATCGACTGCCTTCTTTCTTCTCAATCTACCACCCATCACCATCAACCCAGCCTCCGCAGCCCCTCTCCTTCTTTGTCTTCACCTCGGTAGGCCTTTTTTGTCCCTGCCGAGGCTCTAGTTGCTATCAACTAGACTTGGTTCTGGTCTTACGTGCTTCGGCTACCTCTTTAGGTGGTTCGTGGCTATTTTTTTTCCCTTTCTTGGGGTGACTGGACTGATGTATTAAGTCCCTTTATCTGTCCTTTTATTCTTTTGGGCTACCGGGTTTATTCGGTAACATCTATTTGGATAAACCGTTGAGTTTTTTCTAGCTTCTTATTTTTTATTGAACTGTGTTGCTATCTTTGTGTGTTTTTCAGCCCCTCCTCTCCCACCATGACTGATCCATCCTTTACTGATATACCCACCAAGCTTGTCCCTATTAGTTTTGATTTTTCTCTCTCTCATCGCACTCTTGTTCATCGTATTAGGAGTGTGGTGTTGAATGGAAAAAATTTTGTTGCCTGGAGCCGCTCCCTTAAACTCTATTTAAGGTCATTCGCTTTTATCTTCCACTACCTAGCCTGTTGCAATAGATCCTACCCATGCACGGTGGGATATTGATAACTGTACTATTGTGGGATGGATGTTCAACTCCATGGAAGATCGTATTTACCACATGTTTCTCTATTGTGACAGAGTTCCCGGTCTATGGCATGCCTTGTCACAAATGTATGCTCATGCTCGAAACGATGCTCGCATCTTTGAGCTCTATCGGGATGTTGCTCGTGCTTCCCAATCTGCCTTGGGTCATTTTGTGTAAGAAATCTTTGGATACCTTCAGGCCCGTTGGGAAGAATTGGCTTAATAGTTATCAGTAGATGTTGCCTCTCTTGTGTCCAAATGCCTTGCTCGCCAACATACTTGTCAGTTTCTGATGGGTTTAAACTCTGAGTTTAAATCCCTTCGAGCTCAGATTTTAAATACATCACCTATGCCCTCTCCCTATGAGGCCTTTGCCACCATTGATAATGATGAGTGTTGTAGGCGTCTGGTTCAACCGAATCCTTCTCCCCTATCTCCAGTTTCATTTGATGAAATGGCTCTTGTTGCAAAGTCTGGTTCTCGGGGTTCTACTGGTCCAGTTACTTGTCATCATTATAGCGTTTCTGGTCATGTTAATGCTCGTTACTTTAAACTTCATCCTGAGTTGAGGCAACGTTCCTTTCACCCTCGTGGTGCTGGCACCCCTTGCACTGCGGCTCTAGTGGATTCCGCTATATCTGCTCCTGAATCTCCTCATCTCCCTAATTTACAGGAGTTACAGACTTAGATTGGTCAGCTTCAGACTCAACTTGGATCTCTTACTGTCAGTTCTCATGGCCCATCATCTACCACTGCTGCCACCTTTGTAACAGGTACTTCTACTACTTTTCATGTTCGGTCTACTAGTCCCTCATGGGTTCTGAATTCTGGGGCTAATGATCTCATATGACGGGTGAGTTTTTCTTTCTTTCTTCACCAATCCTTATTACTATTGTCCAATCTGTGTGTCTTGCTCATGATTTGTTATCCTCTATTTGTCATAAGGGTGTAGTGTCTTTATCCCTTACCATTACTTCATCATCTGTTTTACTGTTTCAAATTTTGCATATAATCTCTTATCCTTTAGTCGTCTTGCTAAACAATTTAATTGTCTTGTCATCTTCTTACCCTCTTCTTGCCTTTTACAGGACTTGAGTTTGAAGAGGGTTTTTAACAAGGGCTATGGGCGTGATGGGCTGTACTACTTTAAGGATCCACCAGACGAGCCTTCCTCTTCTTTCTTAGCTAGTTTTCAGGTCTCTGTTTTGCCTGCTTCCATGTCTTGTATTTTTAATATTCAGACTTTAGAATTATGGCACGCTCGTATGGGTCAAGTTAATTTTCAATATTTATGTCAACTTTTTCCTTCATTTAATAAAGCTTGAAAAGATTCTAAGTTTCATTGTGTGGTTTGTGAGTTGTCTAAGCATACCCGTACTAGCTATATCCCTCATGACTCATGCTCCTAGTGCTTTTGATCTTATACATTCTGATGCCTGGGGCCTTTCCCCTGTCATAACTTTTTCTGGTCATAGCTATTATGTGACTTTTATTGATGATCACACTAGGTGCACTTGGGTTTATCTACTTCGTCGTAAGCCTGAGGTCTTTTTAATTTTTGTTCAATTTTTACAGATGGTTTAAACTCAATTTCATACAGTTGTTAAGACTATCCGTTCTAATAATGGTGAGAAATATATTTCTAATGCATTTCGTTCCCATCTTAATGAAACCAATATTCTTCAACAACTTACTTGTCCTCGGACCCCTAAACAAAATGATGTTGCTGAATGCAAAAATCGTCATATTATGTTTGTTGTCCAATGTCTTCTTCGGGATATAGGTGTTCCCAAGTCTTATTGGCATATGGTTGTCCTTACTGTGCTCATTCCATTTCATACCCTTATGCCCACCACCACTTTGTTTCCACTCTTACCTCGTGTCTTTAGGTGTACCTATTTTGTTCAAATCGGAGTCCCACTTGCACAAAGTTAGATGACAAATCTATTTGTTGTACCTTTTTAGGATACTCTTCCATGTCCAAAGGGTATAGGTGTTATGATCCCATGTCTCATCACTTTTACCACACTTTGGATGTTACATTTTGTGAGAATCTTCCTTTCTTCGGTACTAACCCTTCTTTGCAGGCTTCTCCTCCTATTACTTCCACTATTCGCCCGATGACCATTTTGGATGAGGTTAAGAATAAGGCTGTCCCCCTTCCTCCATCTCAACCTTCACCTCCTCCCCCATTGCAAGTATACTCCCGTTGGCCACGCACTTAGTCTTCTCTGGCGCCTCTCCGATCTATGGGTCAAGTAACTCTTCTTCTTTAGGTCCTCCTCCACCTCCTTGTCGTAACTCACATCAGGATCAACATCCTCCAAATCGTTTGAGTTATTTGAGAAATACTAATCATCCTATTTCCCAGTATCTTTCCTATGATAGGGTTTTCCCTTCTTATCCTTTTTTTCTTGGCAAGCTTGAGTCGGAGTCCATTCCTCGTTCTGTGTCTGAGGCCTTTCAAAATCCCAAGTGGGTAATGGCTATGCAGACTGAAATGGCGGCCTTAAAACAAAATCACACTTGGGATCTTTTACCTTTACCTCTTGGGAAAAGCATAGTTGGTTGCAAATGGGTGTTCACCATAAAGTACTTCGCTGATAGCTCAGTTGACCGTTACAAAGCCCACTTGGTGGCCAAAGATTTCACATAGATTCCTGACAAGGATTTTGGTGCCACTTTTGCCCCCGTCACCAAGCTTACTTCTGTATGTCTCCTTATCTCCCTTGCAGCATCTCATTCTTGGCCTCTTCATCAACTTGATGTCAAGCATGCATTTCTCCATGGAGATCTTCTTGAGACGATTTACATGGCTCCTCCACCTAATTTTTGGGCTGAGGGGGAGTATTTAGAGAAAGTGTACCAGTTACGCAAATCCTTATATGGTTTGAAATAATCTCCACAAGCATGGTTTGGTTGTTTCAGTTTTATTATTATATCTATGGGCTTTGTTTAGTGTCATTCCGATCACACTTGTTTCATTTGCCGGAATTCTGCAGGTCAGTGTATGGTCTTGTTAGCTTATGTGGATGATATTATTCTCACAGGTAATGACTTTGTTGGCATTGGTCAAGTAAAAAAGGACTTGGGCCAAACTTTTGATATTAAGGATCTGGGATGTCTCAAATATTTTCTGGGAATTGAGATGGCTCACTCAAGGGAGGGGATCTCCTTGTCTTAAAGAAAGTACACCATTGACTTGCTTCAAGATACTGGTATGTTTGGGTGTAAACCTGCTTCTACTCCTATGGATCCTAATGTCAAACTCACATCAGAGTCTGGTGATTTGCTAGATGACCCAGGCATGTATCAGCGTCTTGTTGGACACCTCATTTATTTGACCAACACTAGATCTGACTTGACATTTGCAGTGTTGTGAGTCAGTTCATACATGCATCTTGTAAAGAGCACCTTGATGCGGTTCATCATATTTTGACGTATTTGAAGACTTCTCCTGGCTTGGAATTGTTCTTTACCGTGGGTCTCCAATCTGGGCTCTCCTGTTTCACTGATGCAGAGTATGCAGGATCTAGGACTGATCGACATTTCACTTATGGCTTCTGTACTTTCTATGGTGATCATCTTAGCTCATGGTTATGACACCACCATACAGTGTCCTCTACAACGTTATGACACACCCCTCCAGTGTCCTCTACCCCGTTATGACTCAACCATACAGTGTCCTCTACACTGTTATGACACCCCCATACAGTGTCCTCTACACCGTTATGACACCACCATACAGTGTCCTCTACAACGTTATGACACCACCATCTAGTGTCCTCTACCACGTTATGGCACCACCTTTCAGTGTCTTCACCAACGGTCTGACACGACCATACAGTGTCTCCTATCTTTTTTTATTTTTATGTATTTTCTTGTTTTGTAACTCTCTCCAAACTCAAGTTGGTTAGTTCCTATCCTCCTTGAGTTTGCGGGGGGCTGTTAGAATTTACCTTACCTACTACACTCCACTATCACCTCCACTTCACCTACTACACTCCACTACCACCTCCACTTCACCTACTACACTCCACTACTACACTCAACATCTCCTATATAAACAGCACCTCAACATTTGTAAATAACAACATCAACAAAGCAATCAATAATACATATATTTCAACAGATTTGGACTGACATTGTACGTCCATCTTTTGTCTCTTCTTCTCAGCAGTTGGCAAATATGTTCACAAAATCTATAGAACCAACTTTGCTCCAGTCTTCCATTGACAAATTGCGTTTGTTGCATAATTTCAAGTCAGCTTGAGGGGGAGTGTTGAATATAGGAATCAAAATATTATGTTTGAATATGAAAATTAGAATAGGAATTAGAATTGAAATTATTTTGATTGTAGGAATCTTACCTTGTGTATATTATTTCCTAAATTGTATCATGAATATATTATATATACATGGCATCTACCTCATTGATTGGTAAGCCAACTAATTCTTTCCATTCTTTTGAAGTCAATTTAAAAAAATTATAATAAAAATAAATAAATAAAAAAGAAGAAGAAAAGAAGAGAGTTGCAAGTGAATGCGTCCATTAAAAATGCACTACAAGCACTAGCCTCAATTTTTATCATTACATGCACTTTTATGATTAAAAAGAAATATTTTCCTCTAGATACAAAAGCTTTTTGATGATATTGACCAACAAAATACTTACAGGTTACATATAGAACATTACAGAGGTCTTGTTTATTTGTTATCAAAACCCTTTCAACCCATGCAATTAAACCATTACTTTTATTTTACACATCCAACTTCTAGGAGCCATACATTGATCACACTAAATGACTTTCAGGTCCAAATTCGTTGCCATGCAATACAAACAGAGCCCAAACTTTAATTCTATGTTTTGTTGACCAATTTTGCCTATTTAATTTGATATCTCAAGTTTCAATATTCTAATAAATTGATAATCTCAATTAAAGGTCAATGACAAGACACTACTAGGAGGTTCTAGAAAAAGAATGTATGCACAATCATACAATGAATGCACATACCAACACTCAAAGACATCAATGCCTTCTTTATTCCACCAGACAAATTTATAGCGTCAAAAGCTGCCACAGAATCATCAATTGTATCCCCTGTCTTGAGCACCACAGATGCAGAGTCTGCATCTTGTTGAGGCCGTCGAATACACACCTCCATAGAAAATTTAGTTTCATTGTGTATTCTCAATAAAGGAGAAACCACAATTGAAAAACCATCCTACAACATATTACAGAAAAGAAACAGGGTTAATTAAATTACAGCAGTTCCTCATACACTTCAAGAAATTGCAAAAGCTGTAATCTGTAATTTGAGAGAATACCTCACTTTTTCCTGAGATGTCAACCACAAGAAATGGCCCAGGATAGGTTTTTGAATCTGTTCGAGGATGAAAAGGGAAAGGTCAAGCACAGGTAGAATTCAGAATTTTTTTTTTAATGTAAATAAGCACGCGTAGAATTCAGATTACATCATATTCGAAGTGGGAAACCAGAAAAAAAGAGTCAGAATTTATTTATTTTTTATTTTATTTTATTCTGATTAGCAGAAAATAAGAATCAGATGACGGAAGGATTAAGCAGCTAAAAAATTCTATTGCCAACTGGTGCATCAGTCTGGGTTGCTGGGATAGCTAGACTAAGTAAAGGCCTAACCTCAGCTTTATTTGCATGTAACTTCTTGTAAGAAATAATGTATAGAGAAAGAGAGAGAATAAATTGTATGTATTATTATTGCTTGATGTAATGTTATATAAATTACAATGATTCATGATTCCTATATATAGAAGAGGGTGAGTGTGTAGTAGGTAAGGAGTAGGTGAAGTGGAGGTGGTAGTGGTGTACAGCTAAAAAATTCTATTACCAACTGGTGCATCAGTCTGGGTTGCTGGGATAGCTAGACTAAGTAAAGGCCTAACCTCAGTTTTATTTGCATGTAACTTCTCTAGACTCAACCGGGCTTTCTTTTTTTTTTTCTTTTTCTTTTTCTTTTTCAGAATTTGGTGCAGAAAACCAAATTCAAAAACAGGGAAAGTCCCCGGATGAAAGGATTGTGCCCAAGCTTGATATATGCTTCTTGACTGATTTAAGCCCAACCAATTGCAGGTCAAGTTGCACTTAGCAGCCACAACTTGATTGATTCCACCTTTATCTTAACATAGAAGCTATCTATTTTGATGTTCAAATATTGGTTGAACTCACATACCAATGTTCTGTTTTAGGATATACAATATATTTTACTCACCCCAGATTACAACAAAAATTTATTTTCATGGTCAAGATAACCACCTCGGAATTTTTCCATTCTCTTTCCATAAATTGTTGAGCCAAGATACTGACAGATATCTATCACAGGTATGAGTTGCCGAGCAATCATACTCTCTTCAGACCAGATGTTATTAATGTTGGATTCCTTGTGTTAAAACCAGGTCTGCCAGTATAAAACCCTTGTTCCATTTGATCTATCCACAATTTTAACTTCTATCTTCCTCCTTTACAATTTTGTCATCCCACACTGCTTATTCAACAACTATCATGTCCCAATCATCCGAAGTAAGCCAAGGACCAGTTCACTTAGAATTTGTCCCCTCAAGTATTACCAAACTATCATTCTACAAACTCCAACATATGCTTCATCTAGGGCCATCAAAAACCTTATAGATCTTCTTATTTGTTTTAATTTAAGTAGTAAATCTTGACAACCAGTAATGATATTTCTTTCTCACTGATTTGTTTTAATTTAGTAAATCTTCAAGCTTCTTTTGGTTTTCACTACACAATGAAGATAGGTTATCCTTAATCCTTTCAACTCCATCTTTTGATGGAGTTGACATAACTACCATTTCAATAGCAACATTACCTATCTTTTCATCAACAACATTCACATTCTCACACTGAGTAACACTGAGAGATAACAGTTTCCTCCATTCTTCCATCACAATCTTGATAAGATGTACTGCAAGGCACACCCTTTATAACCCATCTTTCATGGTACATTCATCTAGTATAGCAAAATAGTTGCAGGGCAGGATGCTAGTTTAAGAGTTCAAATGTTAGCTGCACATTATTTACAGTCAATAACAGAAAAGATAACAAGGTTTAGATCCAAAAATACTTTTGACTACAAATGTAATATTAACAAGGGTTGTTAGAATAGATGTAGACTTAGAAAATATGAAGAAGAAGAACTCCGAAAATATGAGGAAGAAGGAATATATTTCTGTTATATTCAAAACTTCTTATCTTACAAGACCAAATGACACTCCTTATATAGGAGATATTACAAACATCATCATAACCCATTATATGCCACTTACATATTATATATTACCACTATCTACCACTATCATATTATATACATGCCACTATCTACCACCAACACCACTATCATATTCTATACATGCCACTATCTACAACCAACACCACTATCATATTCTATACATACCACTATCTACCACCAACACCACTATCATATTCTATACATGCCACTATCTACCACCAACACCACTATCATATTATATGCATGAACACAATTTCCAGCATGTAGTTTATTTTATTGTTACTAGTGAGGGTACTATTGTTCTTGTATTTTATCATTATATATAAATATGGGCGGAGGTGAAGGGTATGATACACAACCCTAATACCTATTCGTATTTTACCATAATCTAGCACTTAAAATTTTGACTTAATTCACTAGTTTCTAGATTTCATATGCATGTTGATTAGGATTAAACTGACACCATAGTTAATATTCTTGAATAGCAGTAGTAATATGTAAGCCATGCCCAGGTGTGAAGACTGGATGCAATGATCCCAATGGCCATCCTTGTATCTTACACAATCAAAAGCATCCTTGAAATTTATATCTACACCACATATTTTTTGTCATTTCATAGGGAGGAAAGAGGCTGAACAAACCTCGTACTGACACTACACGTGTTCTCCAAGCAAGTGATCTAGCTTCTAAGAGAGTAAGATGGATGGCAGAAGTCAAATAAGCTGCTCCTCGCTCAGCAAGTTGGATTGAAACATATGATGCTTCTGGAGGTTGATTCACAAGACCTAAGTGCCTTCAAAACATGTAATAATCAAGATCAATAGAAGTTCAAAATCAAATGCGCACACTAATATTTCAAAGACACAGAGATGCACCACAAGCAAGGCAAAGATCAATATTAGAAAATCATAATGCAAACACACTATCATTTACGTTAAATTAGACCATGGATGTCTACTTATGATAGGAGCTTAATAATTGTGTCAGCATATAGACAAGGAAAGAATTTAGAACATGTAGCAAGAAAGTTCAAGCTTAACAAAGCGTTATCCTAATTATATGGGTCAGCTAACAAATTCTTTGTCATATCCCAGCTGTGTCTGGAGACATCATGTCTTCTTTTAAAGCCTCAACCAAGTGTTCCATCTGGCGGTACATATCAAGAAAAAAAAAAATGATGCAATAAAGAGAGTAGCATGATGAAAATAAAACAAATTATTCAATATTCATTGGATCCTAACAATGAAGCATGGAAATGGATACAAGATACAAATGCAATACGGATACGGATACGGCAATATGACAAAATCAAAAAAAAAAATTGGATACAAATATGGTCAAAATACATTGAAGAAAAAATTATGATTTTTAATATTATAATACACATGAGCTCAAAGAATAGTAAGAAACCATTTTTTAGGAATTATATATTAATTTAAGAGCCAATAGTCTACTTCCTTCTCAGTTTATATGTTAATTTGATTAAATCTGAAAAAGTAGGGTCTACTTTAAATTCATTATTTTTTTCTTCAATAAGAAATAAACAATTATATGAAAAGCTGTTCTTGCATTTATTTTAACAATTATACCTTAATATTATGCAAAAAACTATTGCAATCTCAGTTTCTAACAGTTTGGATACATGACATTGACATACAATGTCCAATCAACCACAAACCATTGAACCCTTTAATCAACCGAAAGCTTTCTATGATCCATATGGTTACAACCAATTACCCGCATGTTACATAGCAACGAACTAGGGTTCATTAACCAAAGAGTCACCAATTGGTTTTAGGTTCCAAGAAACTGTGCCTAACCCTAGCATATTAAATCACAAGCAATTTCTAACCACCAACATTCAAATATAGAAGGAAAAGGAGAGCGCACCTCAGCGAAATATAGCAACCTCTAGCAATAGACTCTTGCAAATATTTATAGCAACAAAATATGATATCGAATGGAAATTTTCAGAAAAATAACTCAAAACAAACATGCTAACATAAAAGAAAAGTGAGCAAACAAAACCCTAATCATGACAAATTTGCAACGTATTTCTAATCATAAAAACTTGGCAAGGCAAAAATTGGCATTTAAACCAAAAAATTCAGCAAACTTACAGTGCCTCAATTATGTGAAAATTGATGGCAAAGATCACGATGAAGCCTAGTTATGCAATCAAAACAATTTCCATGTATGCAATCATGATGTAAAAGTGGAAAAGGTGCAATAGGCTTAAAACAAAAAGAACTCATGTTTCTATCATGTATAACCTCCAAAACATGCGTCACAATATAAGATTTCATGAAATAACCTCTAAAACATGTGTCACAATATAAGATTTCATGAATCATAAAACCTCGAGTTATCAATAAAAAAAATCCCTAGATTGAACAATTGCACAAAACTCATGTTTCTATCATGTATAACCTCTGAAACATGTGTCACAATATAAGATTTCATGAAATAACCTCTAAAACATGTGTCACAATATAAGATTTCATGAAACATAAAACCTCGAGTTATCAATAAAAAAAATCCCTAGATTGAACAATTGCACAAAACTATCCTAAACATGGCTCAAATGATGATTTTAGGAATATATTTTACATCATCATATTTCACGAAAGAATCAAAGATGTGCTGATGAGATCGTCAAATCATGAATAGATTCCTATGTAAACTCTGGGAGCTTCTATTTCCAGACACCAATTCCCCTCTAGTACACACTTAATGAATTTGGTTCAGTGGTTGATATCTGAATGGCGGCGATTCTGTTGATGTTGATAGTTCAAATGGTGAGAAATATAGTCGTCTTCCTAAACCTATGGTTTCAAGGTGCCTACGAGGGGTAAGGGAAGGTTGCGTGAGCGTGGGGAAGAGAGTTGGGTCATTGTAATGGACGCTGGGAAAGGGGGGTAACATGAGAGGAAAGGATTGCGACAGGAGGGTACTAGAGAGGGAGCAGCAATGGGATGAGGAGGGGCTGCTTGTTTAGGATTAGGGTTTTAGAGGTGGTAGCGAGTGGTGACAAGTGGCGGCTAGGGTTAGGTTAGATTTGAAGATTGAAGAAATTAAAGGTTTTTTTACATGAAAGGATGTGTACTGAACAAAACATTGAGAACAGATGTGCATGAATGTAGGTTGAGAAAAGAAAAGAAATGATCGTGTTTTTACACTATTATGTCTAAATGAGTAAGAAAGCAAAGCATGTGAGAGAGGAATACGAATGAGATTTCTTTTCCTTCTTGTATATTTTAAGAGGCAAACTTGCTATATTTTACAACCAATCAACTCATTTCTCACCACTTTTGGTAAGAAATGAAATAGGCTTAGTAAGAGAGTTCTCTTTCTCACAATTTCTCACTCAACTTATAAACCAAACATGAGAAAAGAGTACCTTGTCTCATCATTTCTTATCGTTTCTCACCTAATCAACCAATCCAAACGGAGTGGGACGTTAAATAATGCATAAACTCTAAGTTGAACCTCATTCCATTGCATGCTAAAGACATGCAACAAGTGAAAATCATGCTTTCCTAGTGATATAAATGCAGAGGGGTACCAAGTGGCAAAACACGTCAGAAGCACCGAAGACAAAGGGGATGACTAGGAGAAAGTAGTCATCTAGCCAAGAGAGAGAGAAGCAGAGAAATCAAGGTACTCAGCTTGACCTGGATGATGTATTCTAACTGTCTTGTAATGATAAGTACCACATTCTATGTATAGGAATAGCTGAAATAGAACAGGAATTTTCAAACTTTAAAGGATCACATACAGTTTCCTTTTGGACTAAATGTGAATTCAGTATCACATAGGGGCATACATTTTCCCCTTGCACGTTCAACACCTGTCACTAAATTTAAATCTAATTTTCCTTCAACTTGCAAGTCGAAAATAAACTAAGCACAAAATAATTTCCAATTCCAACCAACCTACATTGTCACAAATGGTCAAATTCCAGATTAACGAGGAAGCCAATAGTCACCTTCTGCACTAATGTTAACTTGAATTAAACCTTCCTTCAGCAACCACAACTACAAAAAAAATTGTGATTGCAACCCCATTTCCCATAGAAGGGATGAAAGGAAGGATAAGGAAAAATGCTTTATAATAGAATCCTCCTTTTAATCTCAATAAGAAACAACATTTTAGAACTAGTAAGTAGTAACTAGTAGGAAATTCTTTACATAAACTTTAAGGATCAAAGTAGTTGGAGGGTAGTACCTTAACACAATGGTACTGGACTGTCTGCTGGCTATTGATGCATCTTGATTATCATAAAAGTGACAAAGAAGATTCAAGCCAGACTGGTTTTCCACCTGTATTTTAGAACTATCAACGATACATCTCAATAATGTGAAGTTCATACTTTAATATTGAAAATTCAGAAAATAGTCATGGGGCCAGATAATTTAATGAGACAGCAGAAATTTCCCACCCATAGGACTCTCAGCAGCTTACATATATAAATTATTGAGCAGAAACAACTACTACATAACATGAAGCTGCCTTGACATTCTATCAATCCACAAATTATCCAAATCCAATATCATACACAAATAGAATGATCAAATTCATGTCTTGCACTTAAAGCACTATCAACGCAGAGCAGAAATTAAAGGAAAAAGGTAATATTGAAATTCTAAATGCAGCCTCTTTAGGACCTTATACAGTCAGGGGTAGGTTGGTTGGAGTCTTCATATTTTATAGATTTTTACAAGTTGGTATGCCATTGAACAGATTTATTTATGTCTTATTATCTTTTAGTGCTAAGGAGCATGCAAATTTCTAACATTACCAAACGTGACTTTTATGAGTCCCTGGATGTTATTTCGGGTCAACTAATACCGTTAAAAAAAACATTGTGATTTTTGTTAGGCCTAGAAAAGTCTCTGTCATCAAAGAATCAAAATTTCCTGTTGTACGTTGCAGTTCTGCTTAAGGAGAAGGCCAGCATCCTGTAAATATCTTATGAAAAGTTTCTATACTCCATAAGAGATGAATTCACGGTGAACCCTTCCTCCTTCCTCTTTATCTTCTTCTCTTTACGGAGCAGTGAAATTAACATACCCTCAATACTATATTATCCACAACCTCTAAAAACAATCCCAACTTTAATGCAAAACCATAACCAATCAAGCTTAAATCAATCCCAACCCATTCCCTTAATTTAGACAGCAATTCCATACCAAAAACCATAAATCAGTAGCTGTCCGACTATGAAGAGGGGACACTTCACGAATACACATATCCTATGTTTGGACATGCTTCAGGACTCCTTTGTGAGTTTTTGTTTTGGTATGATTTTAAAATGATGATTTAGGTTCAAGTAAAATTTATGAAAACATGAGGGAGGAAAATAAAGAAAATAAAAATACACCCACACACTTTCTTTTTTTTTTGATAAATAAAGTACAAATTTTATTAGAGAAAAAGCATCAAGATGATGCTAAAGAAAAGTAATCGCAGAACTACATATGAGCATGTAAAAACTCAATAAAATACACCCACATACATTGATTTCTCTTATATCTCTATGCCAAATTTAAAATCATATACATAGCGAATAAAAATTTTAAAAAATAAATTGTCATATCCCTGCCGTGACCGTATCCTAATTTTTTCAAAATTTCCATGTACAGTGTTCGTACCCATGTCGGTGTTTGTCCTCTGAGCAGGATGACAACATCCAGTTGTTTTATGCATTTCAAACTTTAAAGTATCATAACTTTTTTTTTTATAGAAAAAGAGCATCAAAAAGATGCTAATGAATACAAGCAAGGCCAAAAGAACTACATCTAGACAAATAAAGGATCAACAAAATCTAAAAAAGAAAATAAACCCGGTTCCACTCTTCCCAACACCCAACTCAATAAAACCAACAGAAACTTAATCTTCAAATAAAGTATCATAACTTTCATTGTATACATCCAATTTTTTATAAAATTTACATTTTTGAAACATCTTTGTTGAGATCTATAAGACAAGATACATACATAAAATTATGTCCAAAAAAAAAGGAACTAATAAATTTCTCAATTTTTAAAATTGAGAAGTTTGCCAATTCCGAGAAATTAGTCATTTTCTTGCAACTATGAAATATCTCAATTTTCAAAACCTCAAAAGTTGATCCCAATGACTAGAAACTGAGAATATTCTCGAAACTCTAAAATTCTCAACTTCAAAACTGTGAAAATTGTCAATAAACTCAAAACTAATAAATGTGAAATTTAAATTTAAAAAACTATATCTATATACATAAACTATGAAATTTATGGCACTACCCTTTTCAGGCACTACTCTTTTAACATATTTTATTTAAAATCAAACTATAACTATAAAATTTCTTAATTTCAACAAAATATAATAGTTGACTGATGAGAAATTATTGTATATTTTCTTTTTACATCCAACTTCGAAGTATTCAGGTTCTCCCAATATTTGATCCCAAAAAAGAAAAAAGTTTACCCATTACCAGAAAAGGTTTTTAAAAAAAAAATAAAAAAAGGTGAAAATAAAAATCCATCTATTCACCTAGCTAATACAGTGAATCCGACAACTATGACTGTATACAGACAAATTTTGGCATAACTTCAATTCAAATGGCTGTCAAAGCACAGGTGTGTGTGATAAACACAGACCATGTGACATCAGTGGCTAGTAATCGCCGATGTAGCCCTGGACGACAATGCCAACAATCTTGGTAAGTGGCAGTGGGGTATTCAGATCCACTATGAAGAGCTTCAAGCGCATACAATTTAGAAAGAGAACAATGGATCTATATATATGTATATATAGAGAGACAGAGGAGGGGGAAGCAAAGGAAAGAGGGAGGAATTGGAAAATTTTATCATTAGCGCATTATTAGAGTGGGGTGATTTGGTCATTTGATGGGTAGTGTTTAGTGGTTATAAGAAAATGGATGGCACTTAATGTTGTATAAGTTCCATAGACCTCCAGTTAAAAACCAAAATAAATAAATAAAACTTGACAATATCAATCCACTTAAATCCCTTACAAGGTCTATCGCGGGAAAAAAAAATTCCTACAAAAAGGGACCACCACTTGTCCTGGTAAATTGGATATCCTTTCAACATTTTTTTCGTCAGTGGTTCTCTCTGCTGAATGAAAGACTGTAAATTAAGCTATGATTTCAAATAGAACAGAGTAACACTGAAAAAGTTAATTGTACGAATCAACTAAAAAGATATTCTTTCCATATGCTGCTGGCTAGGGCCATGTTTGCTGTAATATCATAGTTCATTATGTACATTTTAGAATATATCTAACTTCAGTCTATACCATTCCAGTTTTTGTTTGGCCAATTGCAAAATTCTACATCCACAGGGACAATAAGAACGTGAAGCTTGCAAAATCATAATATTAGAAAATTAGAACATAATTGTTTGCTCCTATAATAGAAACAGAGAATATGGATAATATTGTTCAAGATATGCATACACAAATAGATAAAAGTACAAACACACAGACACATGACAAACACACAAGTTCACGAACACAAGAAATGACAAACAAAACAAGTGCTTCATATGAACCAATTACATCACAAAGTACAGAACCTTGCAGCAGTTTGCCAAAATCGAGGAGGTTTTTATTGCATAGGGACCTGCCAAATTCAACTTTCCAATCACAAAGAGAAGTATGTCCAACGAAAGCTCAGTTACTGATATCCCGAACTGCAATTTGCCAAGATATGAGTTCATAAAAAACATAGTAAGCAATAATAAAATATAGAAATGACAATAAAGTGATTTATCATGATCCTGACCTCTTTCAATCTAGCATAAAAATGAACAGACACCCTAGGCAAAACAATTTCTGAACTTTTAATTTGGAACCGAGAGCGATAGTAAACACATATTTCAATTGGGTGAATGAATTCTCCCCTGCAATATTACAAATACAAGGAGAAAGAACGAAAACATATTCATGTAAGAAAAGTAATTATATTGGAGCTAAAATATACAGAGTAGACAAGGGAACAATTAAAAGTGGAATTTTGCGATTTACACAACATGACCACTTACCATAAGTTACTTCGGGCATCAAAGTAGCATATCACAAAACTTAATGTGCTTATAACTCTGACTTTAGCAAATAGAATTTGTACGATGAATTCAACGGTACTGATGCATGCCTGGAGCAGTGGGAATGTTTCCTCTGCATCTGGAAGTTCATCAACAATGGTCAAAATGACCTTGTCAACTCTAATATCTATACAGGGAAGATTTCCCTGTGAATTATGCCGCAGACTGGTTCTAGAAGCCTGCCCTGAGTACCTATCTAGCAACAAAACATCACGAGCTAGAGAAAAATCATGGAAGATTTTCCACTTGAAAGGATTTCCAGGCTTGCTGACAAACTCCGGAACCCCGTCAATAAAAGCAACGGCATGGTCATTCTTCTTGTTCACAAGGTAAAATGTATTCCTAGCCAAAAAATTGTAGGAGTCTGACTCAATATCACCATCATGACTGTAAGATTTACAAGAAGATAATCTCCAAAGTGCCTGCCCACCATCATTAGTGCTGGATATATCAACAAAACCAGATCCTGGGCGACAATTCAATCGCAATGGTTCCCCTGAAGCACTCTTTGCATACAATGAAACTAAGGAAAACCACAAAACTGATGACTTCCATCTCTTTTGATTCTGATACTTCACCTAAGCATAAGTTCAATCAGAGATTAGGGATCTAATAATAATGGCCTCAGGCCAAGAAGAGTGATAAATAAATGCAAAAGTGAAAGAAAAAGATGGTAAAATAATTTGCTAATACATTCTTGTGAAAAAAAATCAATAAAGAATACATCCTACAATATCGAAAGTTCCATAAAGATGCTGCGTAGAAAGTAATGGAAATGCAAATTCTCCACATAAAATTCCATTTCCTTGCTTGGAAAGAGGGGCTCAGGAAGGTCAATTGCAAATAAGTTGCAAAGATTGCCACACGGACCATTTTTAATGAGATTCAGATGCGGATACTAACGAAGATCCTAGAAAATTGACAGGAACTTCTCAATGGGGATCAGGAACTACAGTTACAGCCCAAGAGTTCATCCAAGGGTTCCCCATTCTTCAAGCTTCAAATGACTGACTGTTAGCCTTCTTGATAGACAAGAAAAGGGTGCCAATCTTTCGCTAACCCTAGTTTTATTTTCATTTCTTTATCCCCTTGTGAATCCCACCCCCTCCCCATTTTGAGAAAAAAAGAGAGCATAGCACAAATGCAAGCACAAAAGGAGTTAAAAAACAGACCAAAAACCTCAAACTCAGTACGGAAGGATTGACAAAACAATATCATGAGTGTAAAAACTGAAAGAGTAAACCAAGCTTCAAACATCTCTCAAAACAAATAAGATCAATTGTTGAAGTTTGCCTTGTCATGGATCATATATTATCAATAAACCAAACCAAACAAAACTATGCATTGTGTCCCAGTGGAGTGGGGTTGGCCACATGAATCCTTTTTCTCCATTCAGCTCAATGCGTGTTTAGTTAAATTAAATAAATTTACATATTTTTTTACTATTGATTCCCATGTCAACTTAGGTCTTTCCCTCCCCCTAGCATCTCCATTTATGGTTCCTTACCATTGTATCTATAGGCCTTCATTGTACATGACCAAACCATCTTAATCAATTATCTCTCAACTTATCTTCAATAGATGCTACTCTAACCATTTCATACATATAGCCATTTCTAATTATATCTTTTCTAGTCTTATCACACATCTATCTAAGCATTCTCATATCAGCTACACTCACTTTATGCACATATTGTTTATTAGTTGCCCAATACTGTCCCATAAAGTATTGTTGGCCTCATAACGGTTCTATAAAAATTTCCTTTGAGTTTTGTTGATATTTGTAATATGCTAGACGTACTCCTCCACTTACTGCTTTTCAATCTTCACTTCATCCTTTTCACTTCTATTGTTGCTAAAGTTACTCTCCATATATTCAGTTTTATTTTTGACTCGCTTGCTCCTCTCTAAATTTTGAATTTATTGTTAATTCCTTTCTTAGTTTCATCTATTAGGACAATATCATCAGTGAATGACATACACCATGGGACATCATTCACAATGTGTTTAGTTAATTCATCCATAACCAAGGCAAATAGGTAAGGGCCTAAAGTAGACCCTTGATACAACCCTATAGTGATTGGGAACTCACTAGTTTCTCCCGCAAGTGATCTAATTGTAGTCACAGCTCGATTATACATGTCTTTTATCACATCAATATATCCTTTGGTTACATCTTTTTTCTCCAACACCCACCACATTATATCTCTAGGAACCCTAGCATAAGCTTTTTCTAGATATATAAAAACCATACGTAGATCCCTCCTTTTCTCTATGTATTTTTCTATTAATCTTCTTAGTAAACAAATTGCTTCCATAGTTGATCTACCAGGAATAAATCTAAATTGGTTCTCTAACACGGTTGTTGTTACCCTTAGGCGATGTTCAATCACTCTCTCTCACAATTTCATTGTATGGCTCATTAACATAATGTCTCTATAGTTGTTGCAATTTTGAATATCTCCTTCATTTTATAAACAGGTACTACAATACCTTTTCTCCACTCATCAAGCATTTTCCTAGTCATTAGAATTTTGTTAACCAAGACACACCCTCCTTACCTAATTTCATCTTCTTCAATGCCACTTCTACCTCAAACTCCCTTACTTATTCTCCAATTCTATCAACTCTTCTCTTAAATTTTCTAAATGTTTTTCATTTAAAAAAATCTCGAAGTAACTCTTCCACCTTTTTCTAATGTCCTCGTCTTTCACTAACACCCTAAAATCATCACTTTTTAATCATCACTGATTATGTTCTTTAATTTTCCTTTCTCTTAATTTAGCAAGTTTGTAAATATTCTTTTCTCCATCTTTAGTATCTAATCTAGTATAAAGATTGTCATAGGTTGTTAACTTAGCATATCTAATTGTCCTTTTAACCTCCTTTTTAGCCAACTTTTATCGCTTAAAAGTTTTCCTCATTCTTATCCTTTTGCAAGTGTTTAAAACATTCCTTTTTTGTTTTAACTACGGCTTGTATCTCACTATTCCACCACCAATTTTCTTTAACCATTTCCCTTTGACTCTCCAAAGACTTCTTTTGATATTATTCTACAGCATTCTGCCATTGTATTCCATTTCCACATGTTATTAGCATTACCTTCCAAACTCCACATTGCTTCCCTAAGCATTTTATCCTTAAATATTTCTAACTTCTCACCATTTAGATTCTACCATCTAGTCGTGGGTTTTTAGTATCCTTTCTGATTTGATTTTGCCTTTTAATGTATATATCTAGTATTGTTAGCCTATGTTGTGATGTTATACTCTCTCCAGGATAACCTTGCAATCTTTACATATTAAGCAATTCGCTTTTCTTACAATGTTATAATCTATTTGACCTACTTTTAAAAGTTATTAAGTGTTCTTTTCTCTTCTTTAAAGAAAGCATCAGTTACAAAATGCTACTGCGAAATCTAAGATGCTCTCTCTAGCTTCATTCGGTCACGAAAATCATATCCGCCATGTACCCTCTCGTTCCCTTGCTTATCCTTTCCTACATGTCTGTTGAAATTTCCAACTATAATTATCTTCTCTCCTACAGGTATTTGTTGCATTAACTCATCTAGTTGCTCCCAAAATTGTCTTTTAATATGTTCTTCTATTCCTAATTAGGGTGTATAGGCGCTAATCACACTAATTATGCTCTCTCCAAATATAAGCGTAATTAGCATTATTCTATCTCCTATTCTTGTGACTGTTACTACCTTACATTTAAGATGTTTAGCTACAATTATTCGTACATCATTTCTACGTCTATCTTTACCAATATAGTAAATTTTATACAGTGTTTCTGTACCCTTTGCTTTATTACCTACTGTTAAGTATTATTGTAAACATGCTATACTAATCTTCCTTCTAATCATAGTATCTACTAATTCCATAGTTTTACCTGTCAGTATTCCTATATTCCAAGTGGCACTGCTCCATTTCAGTGCCTTCCTCTAACACTACAACTACTCAACAAGAAAATTCATCCTTTGCTTTATTACCTACCCACTTTGTTTCTTGTAAACATGCTATACTAATCTTCCTTCTAATCATAGTATCTACTAATTCCATAGTTTTACCTGTCAGTATTCCTATATTCCAAGTGGCACTGCTCCATTTCAGTGCCTTCCTCTAACACTACAACTACTCAACAAGAAAATTCATTGTTTTCTGCATAAATGTCAGAACCATATCAATCAGCGCTTGTTGATTCAAATCCAAGGAAAGCACAATTAAAAAGCATAAGGGATGGGGAATGGGGGATAACATTTAAAAAGTGTAACATATGTCTAGCAACAATCCAGGACTAAAGGAATTACAAACCGGCAGTGTGAAAACAACAAAAGGGTAAATATTTTCTTGTGCCACAGACTTCTTTTTAGGAAGTACGAGCGTGATCCATACGAAACTAAAATATGAGCTCATGAGATGGCAGAATAAGACAGTGGAGGAGCAATGAAATGTCTTAAAGCACCATAGAGCTACTGAACAGGAGCAGTATCTTGATCAACCATTTTTACCAAAATGACTTATATGTCATGAATTCAAACAAAGGAAGAGAAATTTAAAGTTCAACAATATTGATAAAACTTGACATTAACTTTGGCTCTAATCTAAGACAATTGAAGTATTTGAATTCAAAATTTTCACTACTTTTTCAAAAAACTTAGGCTTATCACCCATTTTGAAGAAACTTCTGTCTCATTTCAATGACAGTGGAAGCAAACAGATGCTGCAACCAAGATAAAAATCTGGAGGCAATTCCAGTAACATTTACAACCCATAAGGCACTTCGGAACAAAAAATAAAGTAGATTAATGACTCATGAGAGTAGGGGGAAGGGCCTTGATATGTCTGCCACAATTAATTGAGATCACTTTTTGGAAGGAGTAATCCATAATTAATTTGGTTTCAACTTAACCTATTACAACCAGAAAATCGCCATAACAAGGGGGTGAAGTTCAATAAAGGGATTTGTACGTGTTAGCATGCACATTTCAGCAACTGCCACATGCCTTGTTAACTACAATGAAAGAATTCCAGAACTCCAACTGACCTAGCAGCCACAATTTTGAGTAGATATTTGTAGAGCTCCTATTTGGTGTTCAAACACATGCTATGGATGAACTAGCCTTCAATAAGGAAACTAGTATTTACCAAGCTTATATGTTGGATGGAACTTGAAGTTCCAGAAATTCCATACCCTGAAAAGAGCCCTTTCTCCCACAAGAGAATAATGAATTGTGCCAACCAAATTGTACTTGCTTTCTACACCTTCAACTGACATATACATGTGCTGATGGACATCTTGGATTGCAACAAGAGCTCCTAAACCAGTCATGAAGTTCTGTTAAGTTAAATTTCCCTCATATTTCTCTGGAAAGAAATCTATACTACAACAAAAAGCTTACAGAAAAATAAAAATACCATCAGGAACTGTTTCATCCAAACTTCTATCAGATTCTTGGTTACTGGACCATTGCCTTTGTTCAACATTGCCAGATGTCTCCTTGCTGAAAACCCCGGACAAAGATTCAACAGTTGACAAAAGCATCTGATGCAATAAAATCAAGTTAAGCCAAGTGACTTGTGCCTATTGCCTGAAGTAACATTAGGAAAAGGTAAAACAAGTTAACCATCCACATCTTCTCAGAACAGTACACAAAGCGTCTGTGACATCAGACAACTTGCATTAATTTATGCTTCAATTACTTATAAAGTCTCCTTTGATATGCTTCTAACAATGACTTATAAAGCATTAGTAGCATCAGGCCCATTGTGTTGGGGCCTTGAAAACCTCCAAGGAATAGTATTAGTAACACACAATAAAAATATAGCTCACCTGTATTTCAGGAAGAGAGATTGTCATATCAAAACCTGTAATAGAACCACTACCAAGCCAAATCTGATTTAAAAGCTGAGGTCTGACCCCCTCTCCCAGTGCAGGCTTCTCAACAGCAATGGATGCACTTAACTGTTTCAAGATATAGTTTTGGCGACTTAAATGCAGGACTCCAGACACTGAATTATCCACAGGAGACTCCTTTCGGGTGCCACGAGGGCTTGAGCAACTTGCATCATCAAGAACTGAATGAATCCCATCTGTATGTTGAAAAGCTACTGTAGGACCTCCATGTACAGAGTGAGAAGATGAAGAAAAATGAGGAATCTGAATTTTGTTGGTTTGCTGCCCCTCAATTTCATGAAGGATTTGTGAAAGAATGGACAAGCGGGAAAGATCAAATGAAAATCTTTTATTCGTATTTGCCAATTCAAGGTTCAAATGAAAATCAGCCTCAAAGTGAAGTTCTTTAAGTGCACCTGCATAAGAGTAGAACATTCAACAAACTCTGCATATTTTATAACATACAATAGGAATGGAGATAAATATACCAGATTCATCTGTGGCCACAAGAAAAAGAGAAAATTGAGAAAGATCTAAGGTAAGCGCTTCCAACTCCTCCCATATCATTTGTTGAATGGTATTTTGTTTCCCTTGGCTGGGATAACCATCCTGTACAGCCATATCTTCACTAGTTACAGTAGCCATGTGCTCTTTAGACGATTGTACAACATGTACAAGATTTACGATGCAACGAAGGTACGAAGAATAACATTCAACAAACATTGCCAATGCTGTTGTTTCAACAAATATAGAACCACCCTGTTCCAAAAAACATTTTCACACACATCATACAATTTGACTTGGGCTATTAATAAGAAAATACAATATTCTCCAACAATATAGTCAATCTAAGTTCTATAATAATAGATAAGTAGAAAATCATATGACTAAGCATAAAACTGCAGCAACATGGACTTCAGCAACATCTATCTAATGCACAAAATTAGCACCTGCGATCGGCAAGCAATCATCTGAAATTCTCTCCCGATAGAAAGTGAGAACACAAGCTTAATTGATTTTTGAGCTCCAATCAAAATCTTCTTTACTGACAATCCTGCCATATAAATCTCACTGATTGTAATGCTCATAATTAACCAATGACCAGAGGTGGCTGCCACCCCACTTGGAGGAAAACCCAATTTCTGACCGAGATGAATATTTGATCTTTCTGTGTCAATTGCTGAAGGGGAATCCTCCGCTACATGCGAAATCTTAGCCACAGAAGTAGAACCTTCAACTGCATCACTCACACTTCCTGAAGGTAAAACTTTCTCAAGGAAAGCTAACTGTAAAGAAAATGCACAATGGGGAAGAGATACTTCATACAGGCAACTCAGAGAATGCAGCAGATTCGTACATTGAAACTGATCAGAGGTTTTCCAAATCTCACTCTGCTCCCCGAAAATAACAGACCTAATTTCACAGATATCAGCAACAACTTCCACTTTCCCTTCTTCACAAGAAAACTCCAAAGATGTTTGTTGAACAGAAAGCAAAATTCCATAGTCTGGCAGACCATGCATGGCCAACTTTTTGCTACTTACAGTGTCAAAGGTTGTGACTTGATTCTCCATATTATAGCTTTTCCTGGAGTTCTGGATGACTATATCTATTGACCTGAGCTCAAACATGCCATTAACAACAAAAAGAGCTTTCGTCAAGATCAAGGATGTCCCTTTTGTCGTTGTCAGCAGTGGAGCCTCTTTCTCAGAATCAGCACATGTCATCTCTTGCCTCATTAACTCTTGAAAGCTTACAACACCATGTGAATCAAAACCAGAAATAGTACATGACACTGCAGAAAATAAGCTAACAAGCACCTGCAAAAAAGGAAACTCTTCAATCATTCAAAGAGAACAAATAATTATTAAATTTTAGTGTGAAAACAAAACAAGACAAAACAAAAAAAGAAGCATCCATTCACTGATATCATAAAGATATGAAAGGATTAGGTGGTGTAAGATGAAAAACTCTTCAAGCTTGACACACCTCCAAAAAGTGCAGCTCAACTGGCATAAGAATCATAATCCTGACCCAATTGCACAAACATATGGCAAGGGAATGTGTTGCAAGACTATCATTCCACTTGAGTTTCATAACTTCACTTCAGATAGAGTATACTTCAGTGATTAAGATCTTTGTTGAGTTATCTATCAAACTGTTAGTGGAGGAATTAAAAATCAGTATCATTGTTTGGTATTATGTAAGTGAAAGTCGCTGTTAGACGATTGTGTACATTTGTTGTTGTAAAGTCTGGTAGGATAATTGGAGTTAAGCTAAGAAGTGTCTTACCCTGTCTCAGTACTTCGTTTAATTCTGACAGAATTTCTTGATATATGTTAGAAATCAAAGTAATAAAGTTTTTTTTCCCCTGAAAGGTCCAAAGTTGTTTTAATAGTAGAGTAGTTTTCTTTTTTTTCCCCCTTTTATACAACAGATAGGTGTTTCATGAGAAGTGAGCTACATCAGTTCTTACTGTCATTCAAAAGTTCAGAAATCTTTTGTTCCATTACTGACCAATGTAAGGGACCAATAAATGTCAACTAGTGAATGAAAGAACACTATAAAGTTAGTAACCTCAAATTACTGAATTAAGAGATAGATAACACAATATCTATAAGTTATGAAACTGAGAGACATTTCATATGAGCAAAATGTATGCAAGTGGGAAAAGGCTATTGACAAGCTTGAGCACTGATAAAAGTTTGTGCACTATCACCAGTTTTAGCCTCCCACCAAAAGTAGTTGAAGCCTGACAACTGTTCTTATCTTAGTTCACAGTACTCAACTAGAATTCATCAATATTGACAAGAGCAAAGTTTTAGTTGGGAGTAGCCATCTATCCACAAACACTATGTAGTATCAGGATTTCAGTCTTATGTACAAAGGCTGTCCATAATGTAGTGTATATTGTAGCTGAGATGGCAGAATGCTAAAATGAGGTTTGAGATGCAACCAAGGATGACTATGTAACCATGCGAAAAGTGATCCTGGTCATAAACTACAACACATTAAATTACCAAAGCAAACAAAACAGATCCCCTATAGATCAGCACCCAAAAGCAACAGTCCTACATTCTATAGAACTAAAGAAAAATGATTTTACATCACACTGCTTTAGTGACCAGTGAGAAATGCAAAACAAGCACCAAAGTTATCAAAAATCAAAAATTTATGTAGGCCATTCTTCTACAATGACGTTAAATGCCTGACACTATTCACCTAACAAGCACAGACACTTTTAAGAAAGTGGCATAATTGTGTCATGTTTGTGTCCAATATGTGTCAGACATCAACTCTCATTGGACACTTCCGACACACATATCCATCACTTAGACACACAAAAAACTAACTATAATTTTGAACAAAATAGCATAGAATAAAATGATAAAAGAAATAAATGTAGATTTATAGGAATTAATATTAGGTTATATTTTTTTATTATCTTTGCATTATATATTCATACATATAACATAATATATAACTATATATTTTTCATTTTTCTCCTACATGTTGTGTTCTACATTTTTTGAAAATTACCATATCTACATGTCCGTGTCGTGTTTGTGTATGTGTCGTGTCACATGTCCATATATGCTTCTTAGTTTGTACTAGAGTTTTAAAAGGCTTTCTTGAGGCTCGCCTCACCTTGAGGCTAAGGTAAAACGCATCAACGCTTTGATTTTTAGGCATTACTCCCCAAAGGTTTGCGCATCATAGTTTGAGACATGCACCTTAGGTGCGCTTTGTATTCTTTTTGCGCATAAGCATGTAAGGAGTATGCACATGCAGAGGTCGTCTTTTTTTTTTTTTTGAGCATCAACAAAATTTTATTAAAACAGAAAAAAGAAAGGGGACAAGAAGTCCTCATACAAAGAAAGAGAAAGAGCAAAACAAAATCGCAAAGGTTGCCTTGGGCTTTTGTTAAACCTAGTCTATTGAATTGTTTAAACATAAAAAAATAAAAAGAATCCATTTTTGCAACTATGTTCTACAAGAAAAATTAAGTAAATGATCGATCAAGAAAAAACATAGTTAATGGTCTAGTGAGAAGCTCAATCACTGAATTTAAGAATATCAATTTCACTTTCAGTGAAGGAAAACTTCCTTCTATGCAATAAAATGTTCAGCACATCAAAGCGAAAAGTATTTACACCTTTATATTTAATTTTGTTTTTATTTTTTTTACTATTTTAAAATATTTAATTTATTTACTAAATATTAAAGTTTGAAATTTGAAATGCTTACGCCTCAATGCCTTGAGGCTTAAGCCTCGCCTCATGAGGGGTAAAATGCCTCGAGGTACGCATTCGCCTTTAAAAACTTGGTTTGTACCAATTAATACCTCTTTTAATTTTTAAGAATTAGAGTGGTATTGCATTTTTTTTATTATCATTGAATGAATACCCATATATATGACATATAATAAATAAACTATACATTCTACGCATGTCCCCACGTTTCGTGTCCTGCAATTTATTAAAATTTCCTAGAACGTGAATCGTTCCTGTACATGGAACAGGAATGGGGATACGATAGACCACATGCTCTAAATTGTGCCCAGGTGCCAATCAAAAAAATATATTTTGTGGTACGATAGGGGTAGACTTGTGTAGTTTACACTATAAGAATTTAAGGTACTTCTAGTCTAGAGAATTTTTTTTAACAAATAGACATCCAATAAAATGTATGATTTTTTTCAAATTACTCATATAGCTAGACATTCTATAAGCAATATGACCTATTTTTTATGTTTGTCATATTAAAATTTCACTCAGCTTACTCCTAAGGAAACCTTAAGGAAATATATTGGAAAAAAATTTTGTCCTCTTTTTATTCGTTGCATCGCCTTGATGCTTTTCTAATAAAGTTTGCTTATTTATCAAAAAATATACATATATATATATTGGGGGAAAAAAAATTGGGATCACTTTGGATCGCCATATTTACCATTATAGAAAGAAAGTGTATCATGTTTCGGAACGTGTGTTCCGAAACATAATTTGCAAAGGTACCAGAAGTTCCGAAACATAATTTGCAAAGATATCAACGTTTTCTGGTAACACTATGTCTACGTGTCCACATCTGTGTCACACATTTATATCCTTGTCCATGCTTCTTAGCTTTTCATTGATTTTAGATCAAGAGAAGTCAAATTCAATTTTAAATTTGAAACCTTATAAAAATATAGTTCTTGTTCTAATTCTAACCTCCCACAAATTAGTAATTCCACTTACGTTGTGTTTGGTTGGAGGATTTGAGGAGGGATTTGAAAAGAAAAAGAAAAAAATTAGGTGAAATGTGAATAAAATATACATACATTTCACCTAATTTCACACGCATTTTCCCTTTTCCTTTCCAAATCCCTCCCCAAATCTCTCAACCAAACACAACATTAAGAGAGCTACAACTTCACCATTCACTGGAGGGGGTCACTAATCATAAATTTTCAATCTGGCAATTTATGTAGGTGTGTCAGATCCAATAACATTCACCTATGTTTCAATTAGTAAAGATATTATTATAAAGGCACCAAAGGGGGGTGAAACGAAAAAAAAAAAAAAAAAAAAAATCTATACTAGACTATCCATTGTATCTAGAAAACCAATAAAAAAAAGTTCTCTCAATAGATGGACTAATCCTGCCCTAAAACCAACCACGCAAGAGACTTCACAAATTACTTTTTTGAGCTTTATACAGGATCTTCTGTACTTTCAAAGGTTTTCTACTTCTCTTCCTACAAAGGCACCAGAAAGGGGAAGAGGGCCAAAACAATCCAACATGACTAAACCTCCAAAGACATCCTACAAATAATGAGAAAAAGCTCCACAGTTTCTGCCACCCCCTTGCACACAACATCAATTGGATTCGTTGGAGCACACAGTACCTTCAAGTTAGTAGAATACGTTTTCCAATAAAAAACTAACATACTGTGAGCAACTATTTTCTCTGATTTTAGCTATTTAAATATATTGAACAAAAATGCATAGAATTCAATAAATTCAGCCACAGTATATGATACCCAAAGTAGAAACAGGGTTTAATGGTTTAAGATTTTGTCAGCAACTAGATATAACCAAGTATATATTGAGATGGGGTCAAAACTGTAAAAGGCATTATAAATAGCCTTGAGAAAGATATTCTCATTCATGGCAAAAGGCCACCAGGCATCCACAAAATGCTCAAAGAAGCAGAGTGAAAATAATACAAAAGAAAGAATTAAACACTGAATGCTGAAATTGAACAGCGACAAAAACAACAGAATCACCTTTAGCAAAACAAACAAGTCACCCAAACATAATAAGACAGTGAGTCCTCTTGCCATCCCATGCAAAGCTGCTGAGAATGCAACAATTGCTGTGCTGAATGAATGAACATCCTCCCTGCCATAGATATGAATAATTCCATAAATTGTGCACCACTAACAAAGGGTTCAAAAATCACAAACAACAGTCTTCATTCTAACAATAAAAAAGTTGAAAAACCGGCCTGCACTTCCCTGAGATGATCTTCAAGCTAAACAATAAGTGAAAGCAACATTAAGTATGAAAGTTGAAAGGACAATGATTCACCCTTTTGTTGCCTTGCTACATCAAGAAGGCATATTGTTTGCATGCTTAGCAAGACTTAGGAATTGGGTTTTTTTTTTTTTTTTTTTTTTTTTGAGCATCAACAAAATTTCATTAAAAAAAGAAAATAGAAAGAGGACAAGAAGTCCTCATACAAAGAAAGAGAAAGAGAAAGAGAAAGAGTAAAACAAAAGCACAAAACTCCTAGCCTTAGGGATGGCAAACAGCAGCCCAATCCCTAGACATCAAGAGCAAAGGGACTCCTTTAAAAGGAGGGGATACAAATGCCCAAAATGAAGCCAAAAATTCTGCCCTATCCCCCAAAGCCTCTACACTTGCTTCCTTGCCATCAAAGATTCTAACATTTCTCTCCAACCATATAGCCCAAAAAATAGCAAAAACAATGCTTGTCCACATTGTTTTGGCTCTCTTGGTTCTCCCAAACCCTTTAAACCTAATAAGAAGCAGTTGAACGATGTCCCGCGGAGCAATCCACTGTTCATCACATAAGCCGAAAAGACGCTCCCATAATACACAAGCCACCGAGCAATGAAGGAGTAGATGATCTGCTACCTCCAAGTTTCTCTTGCACATCACACACCATTGAGGACAAAGAGAGTGATTAAGCCTTCTCCTTTGAAAAACATCATTAATTGTGACACCCTTTTGAGCCAAAGACCACATAAAAAACTTCACTTTATGAGGGACAACCGTTTTTCAAATTTTCTTATGAGAAGAAAACAAGAGAACAGAGGGATTATCAATGAGCTTATCAAAAAAGGATTTACATGAAAAGACCCTTGAGGAAACAAGATTCCACACCCTGATATCACAAGATGAAGAAAGAGAGACCCCCTGGAGCACAACCAACAAAGATGCCAACTCCACCGCCTCCCTATCATTCAAGTTTCTAATAAGATCAAAATTCCAAGAGATGAGTGCCATAGAAGAGCATGCCACCGACACTATTGAAACATTTCGAGAACGAACCAACCGGTAAAGAAGAGGAAAATATCTATCAAACGAGATATCCCCTAACCAAACATCCTCCCAAAAACGGATAGTCACCCCATTCCCCACTCTCAATGAAAAAAAGTTAGACACAAGTGGATATAAGCGAGAAATGGATTTCTACAGTGAATGACAATTACCTCTATTAACCACATTAGAATCTCTACCGTTGGCTTGAACTTCATACTTGCTTTTAACAAATGAACACCATAGCAATTCACTTTCTATAGAAAATCTCCACAACCACTTGCCCAAGAGAGCAATATTCCTAGCAACGATGTTCCCGATAGCCAAGCCCCCTTTTTCCCTAAGAAGAGAAACCGTCTCCCACGTACTAGGAATTAGGTCATCAAACACCATGTCTCACTTTTGTAAATATGATGGTCCTACATCTGCACAAGAATTTTGGGGCAAACTACTAATAGGTCTTAATAATTGGACTTAATTCCCATCAAATCCTATTGAAAATAAATCCTAATAAAATCATCGCTAAAAATAATTTTTGTGATGATTTTTTGCAAATGTCATTAAAAATTGACAATTAGTGACTTTTTTTGTCACGATTTTTATAAATTGTCACTAAAACTTACAATAAGTGACGTTTTTCTGTGACGTATTTTTCAAACTGTCGCTAAAAGTTGAAAATTAGTGCTTTCTGTGACGATTTTTTTAAAATGTCGCTAAAACTTATAATTAGTGACAATTTTCAAACTGTCGCTGAAAATTAACAATTAGTAACGTTTTTTAATAGTATTTAATGAAAAATGTCATTAATTCTCACAGGATCTATTGCATGATAAGTCCATCTATTAGGACCTACAAGTAAGTCCCTCTGAATTTTGTTACATGAATACACATAGGAGGTAAAATAAAATGGTAAAATAATTCTTATGACAAATAGCATTTCCTAGTTTCTTTTGTTTATGACTTGAAAATTTTAAATTAATTTATTAATTTATCAGAAATAGATGATGGATATTGTGGGGCCGAATATTGAGAGTCGTAGTGATTCCGGATAGTCGAATCTGGGAGTCGGGATTCAAAGCATTCGGCGATCGGCTCGAAAACTCAAATCCAACCCTACTCGGCCAAATAGCCGATTAAGCAAGGGGCGAGTGAAGATCGGTCAAATATAAAATATGCCGAATAGGAGGTTGGAAATGGATCTAATCCCGAGGCCCAAAGAGGAAATGATATAAATAGAGAAAACATCAGCCAGAAAGAGGTATGTAAAAAAAGAGTGGTGCTTAACTTAGGATACAAGCAATATTGAGTGTGAAACTGACTTGCCCGTCGGAGTGCTAATTCCGGCACCCCCGACCGGAGTGTTCATTCTTTTTCAGGTGGCTAGAAGAGGATCAAGAGCGTCCCCCAAGATCAGAAGAGTATTTCCAAAACCACTTCTCTACAACTGGCGCCGTCTGTGGGAATACTCAAGCACATCCATGGCGGGCGTGACAAAGGACCCTCCAATAGTCACTGATGATACCACGCAAAGATACGACCTCACTCTAACAAACATGCATGGCCCAGAGATCATCCTTGCCAGACGCGCTTTGCATTGCGCCTCACCTTCAACTCCGGAGCATAAGGCAACGCAAGCGATCGTGGAAAAAGCAAAGCAAAACGAACAGAGATTGGCGAACATGATCCCTGAAAATGAACGTCTCCGTCAAGATTTGGCCTCGGAGGTGGAAAAGTCCAAACGAGCTGTACACCAAGCCCCGGAACAACTTGTGAAGGCAAATGGTCGACGATCTCGAGCCCAACGACACGACACTGATAGCAACTCCAACTTATTATCCCCGATCCCCAAGAAAAAGGACGATCTGAAGTTTCCAGTTTCTCCGAAAAGAGTCCGCATGTAAGGTGGGCCCCCTCATTTTTCAAATGGCCGTCAAAAATGGTGGGACCTCCCGACACGAGAAAGGATAGGTTGTGTGCATATCGCAAACACCACGGTCGTGACTTTAACAGTAGCTATACTTTGAAAGATCACCTTGCGGAGTCGTTCCAAGATAGTCAGCCCCAGCAACACGTCCAAAAAAGCACAACCAAAACAAATGTACTTCGGCAGGATTCACCTCCGCTTGGTGTCGTTCATATGATATACAGCTTGCCAACGCCCCCCAGCCGTGCATACAATTCAATCACACCCAGCATCCCAGAAGCAACTCACGCCGGCAAAACGACCACGTGAAGTTCCGAGTATCACCTTCGACGATTCCGATCTTATCGGCATAACAGTCCCCCACACTGATCCACTGGTCATTGAACTACGCGTAAACCGATTTTCCATCAAGCGCGTTCTCATAGACCAGGGAAGTACTTCGGAGGTTATGTATTACAAGACCTTCATCAAACTTGGCTTCAACGAATCAGACCTGTCTCCAGCTCCTTATCCACTATTCGGCTTCAACGCAAATCCGGAGTATCCGTTGGGGAAAATCATACTACCCGTCCGAGCAGGCTCCCGAACAGTGGATGTGGAATTCCTAGTCGTCAAGCTTCCTTCGCCGTACAATCTCATCATGGGGCGAACTTGGTTGCATACTATGCGGGCCGTCCCAAGCACCTATCATTAGCTTCTATGCTTCCCGACGAAACACGGCATTGAGCAGATCTGTGGTTCCCAGCAACCCGCACAAGCATGTTATCTCCTCTCCGGAAAGACGCCAAAGGAGTTACACGTCAATTCCATTGAGGTGCCGGATCGAGATAGCCTCGACGATGTCGGGCGGCTCCCAAATGAGAAAGCCACAAAAGATCTAGACCGAGATGGGTTTGACGGCAATCTAGAGAGGTTCTTCATGGTTGGCGCCTCCCTAAGTCAAGCCGACAGACAGCAGCTAGTGTCCTTCCTGCTCGACAATCTTGATGTATTTGTGTGGACCCCATATGAAATGCCGGGTGTAGACCCATCTGTTTCAGAGCACCGTTTGAATGTTGACCCTAAGTGCAAACCGGTCGTGCAGAAAAGTCGGCGATCAGCCGCAGAGCACACTGCCGCCGTCGTTGAAAAAGTTGACTGGCTGCTTGATGCAGGGGCAATCAGGGAAGTGACCTACCCCACATGGCTCTCTAATACTGTGGTTGTGAAGAAGAAAAGTGGGTCCTGGCGAGTCTACGTTGATTTCATAGACCTAAACAAAGCCTACCCCAAAAACTGTTTTCCTTTCCCAAGGATAGACCAACTGGTAGATGCAACAGCATGTCATCAGTGCATGAATTTCCTCGATGCCTATAGAGACTACCATCAAATTACCATGCATCCGGAGGACCAGGACAAAACTGCATTCCTTACCCCAAGAGGAACCTATTGCTACAAGGTTATGTCTTTTGGGCTGAAGAATGCAGGGGCAACCTATCCGAGACTGGTCACCACCATGTTCAAAAAGCAACTCGGCCGCACAATGGAAGTGTACATTGACAATATGATGGTCAAGTCCAAGGTAAAGCAGAATCATATAGCCGATCTTGAAGAAACATTCGGCATCTTACGCGAATATGGAATGAAGCTTAATGCTTCCAAATGTGCTTTTGGAATCGGCTCTGGCAAATTCTTGGGATATATTGTCAACCACCGAGGAATCGAAGCTAACCCAAGGCAAATCACAGCAATCCTGGAGCTTAGCTCCCCTCGATCAGTGAAAGAGGTTCAAAAGTTAATGGGGATGGCCGCCGCACTCAACAGGTTCATCAACCAGTCCACAGATCGCTGCCGACAATTTTTTCACACACTATGGCAGGGCAAGGCTTGGCTTTTCAATGGTCCGCCGAATACAAAGCTGCTTTCAACGGCC